AAGAGATCGTGTTAGGCGGAAGTGAGAGCTTACGGGTGATGACGGAGCCACCTAGAAAAGACTGCAGAGAACAACGTGAAACTGAAATGAGCTGTTGAAGTCTTACATACAACTCGGAATATAAGGGAATAATTGTGTTATTGTAATGAAGGATAAGCTGTTGCATTGGATCACTTCAACATGCATATACCAGTTCACTTTCTCAGGTGGAGCCGAGTACATTAGCTGTATCATGCCTCCGCCTATGAAACGAGCTCGGGAACACTACCCAGCATGGTTAGAAAAGGAGAACACAAAGGTGTATACAGTTCGGTAACAGAACATCTGGGGAATTCAGGACATTCAGCTCCCGTTGAAAAGTCCTTCATAGCCATATATAAGATCCGATCAAGCCCACCAAATGGAGTGAAATCAAGATATCTAGGAATAGCTGAGGCACTGGCGATCCAAATCTCAAGCCCACTCTATGTATTCAAAAGAAACATGTTCATCAGTTGTCCCTACAGTGGCCATCATGTTATATTCACCTTTTTAAATCCCTATCTACATTATTAGATTTGATTACTGTTTTTATCTTTATATGTCCTAAGCTCCTACCCATTTCGTTAATACTACATCCTTAACCTGCGATTATACAAACTGACGAGTTATCCAGTAATTATAATCCTATTTTGTCTTTTCTACGCGATCTTTCTGTTCAATACACATTGTAATTTCATTCATCTAACTTTTGACCCGATATAATTCTGGAACTTTCTCACATATTTAATATAAATACACGAATGTACAGCGGTCGAGTTGATGACTTCGTCGAAAAGTAAAATTTTCTTCACTGCAACCGTCTTTTTAATAATTCCTATAATGAATTTCTCAGTTCAAATGAAAAACACACGAACAAAATAGACCAGTAACTGAGCATTTAAATAAATATTTGTTTATTTTACTGGTGTTTTTGTATACAGAAATTGTTAACACACAACAACATAAGACAACATAACATAGAGAATGTGTAAGTAATTATCAGTTCTTGCACTGAAATTTTTTTGTTTTGGTTGTATATATACTAACTCTCTATTCATCCTTCTGTAATATTTTTTTTCCTTTGAACTGTTTTACATTTATCAAGCGGTTGTGTATAGTTTAAATATTCAAAAGATTATTACTAGTTTTCAAGGTGACAACTTTTCCTAAGTGCGATTTATAGCAAACATCACCAAGAATTAAGTCATAATTCAGTTCATTGAAATACGTCAAGTATACATCACGAATAGGCAGTCTACTTGGATTTCCATCGATCAATGCAGTGGTGTAACCATTGGCAACCTTATTAAATAAATAAAAGACACAGAGAAGAGACGTCTTTCCCAGTAAATAAATCAATTCAAGAAAAATCAGCGTAAAAATAAATCAAAATGTAAAAACTAATGTGCGAAACATTCGGATACTGTGGTTGTATGTAATTCCATATTATTAGATGGTTGGAAGCAATCGGCCGCAGGAAGTTTTCGACCTAGGTTTCGTGCTAGTTGGCACTCGTCAGCTAGGCGTATCTGCAGCCTTCAAGGAACTCATATCCCTTTTGAGATTCAAACCCGCGTCACCCAGTGCTGCCTGCAGTCAAGGACGTTACCAATGACTGTTCGGACTAGCGATTGAACTCCTGTAGGACCGTAGTGGATACTTTGATTGGACACTACTAACTAGTGTGATGTGTCTAGTCCTTTCTTTGGTGCAGACGGAATTCTATCGGTCAGGTTTTTCTGTAAGGTGGCCACCATTCTAGATAGCTCGCCATCACGGTGCACATTGATTCGATGATATTAGATGGTTGGAGGCAATTGGCAGGACCTAGGTTTCGTGTTAGTACATGAGGCCAACCACTAGCCCGAATAGCTCAGTGGTAGCGCCTCTGACTGCAGTACTCACTGGGTGACGCGGGTTTGAATCGCAGAAGGGATATGAGTTTCTTCAAGGTTTCAGATACGCATAGCTGACGAGTTCCGACTAGCACGAAACCTAGGTCAGGCTGGAATTCCTGTGGCCGATTGCCTTCAACCACCTAATATCATCAAGTCAATGTACACTGTGATGGCGAGCTACCTAGAATGGTGGCCACATTACAAAAAAACCTGACTGATGGAATTCAGTCTGCACCAAACAAAGGACTAGATACATCACACTAGTTACTAGTGTCCAATCAAAATTCCATATTAATTTGTTTATTGGATATATCACACAGAATAAAGCAGTTCTGCTTACTGAATGAAAAAGTTTCGAATTCAGTTTTCTGTTCATAATAGGATCTTTAATTATGACTGTATAACTTCAGAGCTTGAGTTTTATAATGTTCTTTATTCCTTCACATTCGTCTTAGGGGTAATGCAATTTTCCACATGTCCTGGCGCACAGATGTTGAATCATTCTTGCTGCACATATTTTCAGTTGATTCGGTAATTAAAGTTCCTGCTGCCAACCTCTTCCTCTACTGTGTTATATCAGGCTTTAAGACTGTCATCTTATCCCATCTTATTGTATGGTTGTGTGTGAACTGCATGTGATGAATGCTATAGATGAGCTTTTTTCTAGAATCCTTAGCTTATTAGATTCAACTATTCTAGATTTTTCTAGGATTTTGTGTTCTTCTAATCTAATTGACCCTGTTCTACTATGTTCACTTATGTATTTGGTGTGACAATTATTGCAGAAGGGCATTCGATAAATTAAATTATTCTCTTTAATGGTTTCCTCAAAATCCTTTAACCCAGTGGATTTGAATGCCATTTTAACTTACCATTTGTAAGGGTTCTACGTACGATTCTACGAGGTTCCTTCTTCGTATGGAAGTACTACTGATGATATTATAATAAAGGCTTTTTGTAATTCCAAATGAATGAAAAACAAAACGATATTGGTTTTACTGACGTTTTGCTATTTAATGCTAATAGCTTTATCAAAGTAGTAATATTAAACCAGAATATATATAACAACTTAATCATTGTTCCTCAGCATGGGGGCAATTTTGCGTTGTCAAATTAGCCAATTGGTAAAGATAACAAAACCAAGTGCAGATTTTTGGATTTGATAAGTGTTTAAGATTATAAAAGCAGCGTGTGTTTACATAATGAAATTGCTTATCACATCCGAGTTGATTTTGTCATTTCATTGGGGAAGGGGGTGTTGTAACCAGGTCAAATTCTGTTTTAGTCCATCATTTCTATTCAGACAATTTGGATTCCATTTGATGTTCCGTCGTGTGTAGACCTATCGCTGGTGATTTTTCAAGCTCTTCTAGTTCAATAATTGGATTTGTCGGTGGCTTGTCGAACAGATACTCTGCGGTGTTCATTTCTTCTGATTTTGATTTCTCGATATGTTTGTCCGATGTATGTCGCATCACATTCCAAGCATTTTATTTTAGACACAAATAGATAGAGAATCTTTAGAGATTTGGTCTTTTATATGGACAAAGCTGTTTCGCATTGTGTCTAATGTTTTGAAGAAAACTCTGATGTCGAGCTTGTTGAGTACTCTTCTGATATCGTCTGATGTCTCTGCTCTATATGGAATGACAACTGTTGATGTCCATGTTTTCGTAACACGTTTTCGACCATTCTTAATGTCAGTGTTGATTTTGTTGATGAAGTTCCTCGGGTAGTTATTTTGCTTGAGAGTCTCAATAATGTTTGATATTTCTTCTTCTTTTTCTTTCTCATCCGTTAACATCAAAGAGTGTGCTCGTCTAAGAAGACTTGAAATAACTGATACCTTTGCGCTGATGGAGTGTGATGATCCGAAGTCTAAATATTTATTGGAGTGGGTTTTCTTCCTGGTAGAACTAGAAGTAACTATAGGAAGCTATATGCCAGGACTACCAAGTATAAAAACTCCACAATACCCTATCTGGCACAGCTGTTATGTGATGAGAAAACTGTTAGGCATGACACGATCACCTTACTGCGGCACTCTAACAAATAGTTCCCATTAGCTTTTGTTCTCCTTTCTTTGTTACTATTATATTGTTGCTCATATATTCTATTACAGACTAATTTTATATATCATATCCTGTGCTGTATTGTTTAAACATGTTAACGCAATACTGTTCTTTTTATTTCTTTTATTTCTCTTTTTTTCTTTTGTTGTTGTTGCTTTTTTATTTTTAAATTCTTACAAAATTTATGAGGTAATTAGATACAATATTGTAATGAACGCTGAAAATTCCATACCTGTACCACAAATACTGTTTGGAATAAAGCTGTTATTATTATTATAATAAATGTACTAAAATGTCCGTACTACTAATAATTTAAATTCCGTATTATTGGTATTGTTATCATTTTGTGTATTATTTGTCATGCATGCCATCATTATCGTAGGTGGCACAGTGGTTAGGACTCTCGCCGACCATGCACATGGTCCAGGGGTTCGATCTCCTGCTGACGCACACCCGATATCTATGGTCGGTCTGCAAAATTTAGGCTACCGATATCCATGCTGAAAATTCCATACTTGTACTGAAAATACGGTGCGGAATCAATCTGTATTAAAAAATTATTGTTATTATTATTATTAATTCTTTAATTGAATTTTAGATTTTCCAATCGATTGATTGGACCGAAGTGCTTGGTCTCAGATGACGAGTCCCAAGTAGGACGAAATGCCAGTCACCATCCACCAGTTATATTATTAATTCTGTTTTCACACTTTCCTACATGCTTCCTGATTAATTTATCAGGGTAGGTATTTGACATGCTGCTGAACTGCTGAAATCAGTGTTTTAAATTCTCAATGGGCACCTTCAGCCTAACTGAATATCGGCTGTTCCGTAAAGAACGCATATTTCGCATTATTATTTTGTACACAACAAAATGATAAAAGGATACAGAGTAATAACAGAAGGACCTATTGTAAACACTAGACATGTAGAATTACCTTTCCACATTGATCTTGTTCAATTTTAAATCTTCTTAGAGGATGATTTCTCTGCAGCACTGAATCATCATCTCCTAGTAGACTAATACTTTCAGCTAATGATGCCGTAGAATTAGATTCTGACTTCAATAAGCCTGTACATGAGAAATAGATTCGTTGTACAGCAGCGTCACTTGTTATCTTTAAGAAATTAAGCTGTTCTGGATCTATGGCATAATTGAACTAGATGGGAAATGAATAAACAAAAACAATAAACAAAAACCCGGTGTTATAATTAGACGGAAAGTAATTTTGAAAATTAAAGTTTCGAAAATGTTTACATGCTTGATGTTTTTGTGAAGAGCGAGCTATCTTCGTTGCATATCTATACGGAATCTTTAATAATTTACACACTGCTTCAGATGACAGTTATGTATGGTACGTTTTGTCTTGATTAAGCAATATGTATATAATTTGGAAGATAGTGATTAGCAGTAGAATCCAATATGTTCATTTCGTACTAGTGCGGTGAGAGCTGTCTGCTAGCCAAAATCGGTAGACAGCAATTTACGTCAATGTTTACATGCCAAATCGGGGACATGAGAAAAAAACAAGAGCGAAGCCTGACCTTGACGAACTCAACAACCAATTACAGCAGACTTAGTGTAGGTGGATACGATTAACAGATATATCAGTGGACTATCTAAGGAACAGCAAAAAAGAGATGACAGAATAACCTTCAACAGGAAAACAACCAATCAGAAAACGTTGCTTCTCTGCTAACAATAACGAATAATAATGTGCATAAAAATCTCAAAATATCTGTTGCTTTTCTCAATAAACGATTTGTTGCCTGGCCCTTGTCTTCTGTCGTTACACTAGTACGGACTAGGAGCCTATATGTCAAAAAAGGCTGGACATTTAGGTTCTAACGATCAACGGGAAAATCGAAACTAGATTAAAAACAAATACATATTGGTCTTCAGTTTCCTCCTCACATTAAATTCCATTTGAAGACTGATCCGAAAAATATTATTATATTATGCAAAATGACTAATGCAGCTATTCCAAAAGACGCGATTAAGTAGTTCTTAAGGCGCGTTGATTGTCCAACGGTAAAATACTTGTCAGAGAACACACGCAGTTTGGACTCGATTCCTGCTGAGGCATTCCTACAACTCTATTAGTTTAGTAGTCGATAGTAGGCCTGAAAAACAAGGGAGGGTTGGATTTGAGGCTAAAATTCCCACTCCCTAAAAAATAAAACACCAAGGCTATTGAAACTTCAAGGTTTCAAGCCTACAGTATCACTAATGTAAGTGCCGAACTTGACCACTGTGGTAGAATGTAATTTCATATTAGAGAAGTTTATCTCAAATATCACACAGTGATGATGCAGTATTAACAACTGGATGACGTTTATGGAGAACTGAGAAAATATTACTCTTAATACATTTAATCCTACTCCAAAAATATGGTGGAGATATGGGGATGATTGACACTTTCACACTGTTAGAAACAGAACATATCTCTAGCTTCTTGATACATATAAATTCTCTAGTAAAGGGAATAAAATTCGCATTTGAATCGAAAAATGAACAAGGAGAATTAGTTATGTTAGATGGTAAAATAAAACGAATAGACGAAGGTAGATTGCACACTAGTGTTCATAAAAAACCAACACATTCTAATAGATATTTAGACTTTAATTCATCTCATCTGTCGTTGTCTGTGATGGCAGGCTTAGTTAAGTGTTAAACAAACCGAGCAGTAGCACTATATTATTTTTTTAAATATTTTTTCCTTCACGTTCCCAGTGGAACATGGGGCTTCAAGCTAGTGGCTAGAAGTTTCTGTAGCAGTGTTTTATTTTTACAGGATGGGGTTGCTAGCCTCATGCCCAACCCTTCCTCTTTACCAGCATTATTTCTAGCTGAGCGAGTTAAAGGTGTGCGTCGGCCGGGGATCGAACCCCGGGTCATATGCATGGTCGGCGAGCGTACTAACCGCTATGCCACCGACGCACCAGTGCAGTAGCACTAAGCAGTACAAAAAAGACCTAAAAGATGAAATGAAACAGATAGAAGAAACGTTGGTGTTAAATAGCTGTCCTATGAAATTCATTAGGAAGATCAAAAAAGATCAAAAGCAAAGTAAAAATAATGGGGAAACTAGTAATGATAACATAAATAAGAAAGAATATCAGGCATCTATAGTTTTATCATATAATGCGGGAAAGATATCTGAAACCCTCTCTAAGTAGGATTCTTAATAAAGCAGGAATTACGGTGACATTCAAACCTACAAACTCACTCTGACAGGGACAAGCTCTTTAGGTTAAAGGACCCTGTCGGTTGATCCACTTAGACAGTAATATAATTTACAAAACACCTTGCAATGACTGTGAGTTAAGTCAACTACATAAGTCAAATTAGTAGATCGAGGGTTGTCAAATTGTCAGAACATAAGAATTTAGCTAATTTAGCTGACTGACTCCACCCACAAAGATAAGTAATTTAGAAGAAAAAACTCAGCACTGCATTGCATTGCATGCATTAATACACAACCACACAATAGGGTGGGAGAGGGTTGATTGCGTACTGATGAAGAGCCCCAAACTAGGTTGACGAAACGGCTGTCCAGTACTCCCAGGTGGTTTCCCGATGGTTCTCTAACCAATGTCAGCTCATGATGAAATCCTGTAACCAATCAGCCAAATCCCTACAAACCAATACTTGAAGATAGTTTATAATGATATGTTGAAGATTCGGATAATGAACATCAATGTGAAGTCAGTCACTGCTTCTATATGGTATGATAGTAAACGATCTGATGCAGGATTTTGTAGACATCTGCCTTCTCTCCATAATGAAGATAAGACAGTCAGAAAGGATAACCAGCAAGGAAACCTGGCAGGCAACGAGCCAACCAACATCCTATTGGTCAACAGAAATGTTGAAGGGAATGGAGATGGGTCAGAAATATTCTGAGAAGGCTGGTGAGTGACATTAAATGCCAGGTATAACCTTGAGTGGAACCTAAATAGGAAAGGACGAGTTGGAAGTATATCGGAGGGTGATGTGAAGGAGATCCTGTGGGGAGGATATGAAAGTCTGAGGATGATAGTAGAGTACAGAACTGCAAGGAACACGATAAAATGGAGGAGTGTTTATGAAGCCCTGTGTTCCATTTGGGTTCCAAGAGAATGATAACATAGTGCCATGTTGAAAGCAGTGAGTTATTCAGATGCATAACATTAGAAACGAGAAACTTATTTTCACCTCAGATAAATTTAATGCGTAAGTGACGATGCAGAACATAGTGTACTTAAAACGCGTTTCTTTAGTGAGAAGGAAATTTCAGATTATAACACAAATACCCTTAAAAATTGAGCTGTTGACTTAAATTTGAACAGTGAAAGTTTTCAAGATCAGTTATATGTTTTAATGAAATATTCAAGGTCGTTTTCCTATTATTATCGGCATCATTTCTTACCTCATTCACTTGAGTTTTATGTTGAAGCCAGAATTGACTGCCTACAAGGGAAGGCGATAGTTTATCCACTGAAATTTTGTCTTGTTTCGGTTTAATACAAGTTTCTCTAGTTTTCATACGACAATTCACTTTAACTGAGCTACTCACGATATCACCAATAGGATTAATCCAGTATTCACCTGTAGAAAAAAATAGAAAAAGCAATAATGATTTATATATGGGACGGAATAATGATGTTTTCAGCCTTTGGAATTTTCTGGGATTTGGCTTAATATCAATGTTTTAGACTTCGTCACAAAGCGACATTAGTTAGAGAGATCATTGAAAACCAGCAGGGAACACTGGATAGATGTTTTGTCCTATTTTCGAACTCTGCATCAGTGCACACCCACGATACCACAGGGAATCGAACTAGGGACCTTCAGGATGCTCATCGAAGGCATTGGTGAGAGTGGTGCTATATCACGAGTTGACTAAGTTAGTAACAATGGATCGCTGGATTCCAGCCCTTCGAAAATTGCATAGCGTGTAGTGATGAAAGCAGAGAAAAAGGTTTTTGCCTACATTTTTTGACATATTCATAACATTCTGAGAAAGAGGGGTGTATTCAAGTGACCTGAACACTAATCGACATCTTATTATTTCATTTTTACTGTACCTATTAGCGTTCCTGGTGGAAGACAGGGTTTTAAGCTTCACCCCAAAGTTTCACTGGGGTTGCTAGAATCCCATCAGACCTTTCCTGTTTACGGGAGTTACTATTGGGTAAGCGAGGTTTATGGGGGCGTCAGCCGGGGACCAAATCCCGAACCAATTTCGTGGTTGGCGAGTATTCTAACACTGAACCACCGATGCACCTTCATGCTATATGAATGTTCTGAAATCTTTCCAAAAAGGACAGACAAACAGAGGGAAGCAGAATCTGCTGAGTCCCATCCTTAAAAATTCCCACTTCTAACAAACTTCTATTTTCATTCATTAGTTTCCTTTTTCTTTAGAGAATATTTCACGCAATAGTTCTCCTCAATAGTCAGTCGTCAAAATATTTCTTAAAAATTTTTTTTTTCATTTTTCTGGAATACTCCAGATTGTCACCACCTACTGCTTTTGTCAATCACTTCTTGTCAGTAAGTATGCGATTTTTTCAAATATATACATTTTACTACTGTTTATTATTTATAAGTAGCTAAGAATTTTATCCGAATAAAGGATAGTTATGGCATTTTGATACGTTTGTTATTCACATTCTGTCCAAGAATATGTTTGGGATTGTATTGAAACATCACATAAAGATGCATAGCTTTCAAAATAATTAGTTTATCGTCTTGAAATATATAAGAAAGAAAAAAACTAGAAAATCTAACACCTGTGTCCACTGATTTGTGTTGATTTATGGTCTAAATATTTATGTAACCTTGGTCATTATTCTACTTACATATTAACAAAAAGTCAGGTTTTGTGATGTAATCAAGTCATCTTATTTATAGCATAGAGGTGGGGTGATTTTACGCTTAATCAACGTATGAATCGCTTATCTATGACTGTTATTCACCCAATGGCTTTAACAGAACTGCTCGCTGGCCTTGTAAGCAGAAGGTCCTGGGTTCAAACCCTGGAGGCGGTTGCATTCTGTTGAAGAGTTCCAAACTGGGACGAAACAGCTGGTTTTCTAATGGTTCTCTAATAGATGTCAGCTCATGATGAAATCCTCCAACCAATCAAACAAAATCCCCACAAAACCAATACCTGAAAATTATAAATATCATCACGACATTAATAATAAATTTCGGTTTCTAACAGAAAATAGAATTACGCTAAGTGAGGAATGTTTTAATTATGTTCTTTCTTTCTTTTGATATATTTGTAAAGAAGAATTTATTTTCATTGGACACTGCGTGTTAACTGATGTTACTCGTCTGAACTTTCGTTTGGTCCAGATTGAATTCTGTCAGTGAAGTTTGCAATTTGGTCACCATTCTAGTTGGCTCACCATCATGGTGCACTCTGGGTTGTTGTTAGACAGTTGAAGGTAATGGACAAGAAGCCTCTGACTTAGGTTTTGTGCTTTTTGACACTCACTCACTAGTCTGAAGGAACTCATATCCCTTCTGAGATTCGAGCCGCCGGTTCACCCAGTTGTGCAGTCAGAGATGTTACCACTAGTGAGCTATTCAGGCCTGCAGTTCACCTCCTTTAGGAGTGTAATGGGTAATTCTGCTGGATATCAGGTAGTAACTGATGTTATATATGTCTAGTCTTTCGCTCGGCGCAGACTGATTCTTAGTGTGTATTGGTTGCCATACTTCAGATACTTAAATTTTGAACGGTTAGTACTTTGGTTTTACAAATTTCGGAAAACAGTCAACTTATGTGTGTTGACGCATGTGATATTTTTGTCCAACACATTTCGAAGATTTTGATCACATATGAACCTGTCATTACCTATTTATTATAAAAGTTAACTGATTACAAATGGTCAACATGGAAATAAAAGGTGGGGTGGAAGTTATTACATTGAATCTATCTCAGTAATCAGTTTTATAAACTGAAAAATTTACCAAGAAACACATGACAAAGAAAGCGGAAAAGGACTACTCACCACTCGTAAACAAGAGGCCTTTATATATACGGCTGCAATTCAAGGGCAATATACCAAGGAAAATAATTACGAAGAAATTAAGAAAATCTGTCCAAAGAACTTTTAATGCTGGCAAACTACACGACTTATTCTCTACACAACCGATGGTGATTCCTCGACCGAAAGATAAAGTACCTAGACTAGCCACTTGCAATTGTATCTAACAATTCAACCGCGCTTGTGGAACGAGTTATATTGGCCGTTGCTCTAGGAACTTGATTTTTCGTGCTCACTAGGTAACATCTCCCAGTATGGCTATGTAAAGGTGTAGTTAAAACTATTAACAGTTCAATATTGGACCCTCTGGTGCAAACCGGCCACAAAGCCAGCTAGCATTGAAGAATCCTTCTCTATCATTTACCGGGTGCCTAATAAATTGCCAAAAACATCGAAGTACCGCATGCTCCAAACAGCAGAGGCTATTGCAATTCGCCTCAAACAACCAGTGCTTTGTGTGCTAAAGAAGCAAGTCCAACCCCTACTACTGCCCTGCCTGGCCTTCAATAGAGACTTTAAATCCATGAATTTGTATTACTGTCTTTCTTAGTTTTTCTGACATTAAGTTTATTGTTATGTTGATGCCAATGAACAGTAATCTACTGATATTATTGATTCGATGTTATTTAAACAACATTAATGTTGTTAATAACACTAATTCATTCATTCACTATAATGTGTATATATAACTGTAGAGCCTGATGATGAAGTTATCGAAAAGAATATTCTTTGTTCAATATCCATTCAATTGAAAACTGAGAATTATTTAAATGTTGAGATTATTATTGTTATGATTTATCTTGAGTTCTAAGTGGTGCTTAGGTAATATGCAATCCGAACAGCGTTGGCAGCCTCAAACCTCCTCTCGGACATTTGTATCTCCACGCCTGCTTTTGCTTTCATCTGAAGAAGTCATATAGATCGACTATCTTTTCAAAAGGCTTACATCTGTCTTCAAAATGGTTAGTCTTCTCCGTTATCTAGCAGAAAGTAGCTTTATTTCATTTAACGGTGAGATTGTTGTTTTTTATGGGGTGGAACTGCTAGCTCAACGCCCAACATTTCTTCATTTCTGGGCTCGGGATAGGCTAGTAATCTATATAAGAATGCATGCATTCCTATAATGCCTAGTTAGTTCAAAGATGTAGTATTAAATTTTAGCGATGAATGAGCTTTAATACCAACAAACACATTAAGACTTAAAATAAATTTGTCGATGAAATGTTCAAGGGACAACAGTCTATTAAATAGTGTTTTTCGCAACTGATTGGACTAACTTGGACTTATTCCATATTAGTTTGTTTATTAGGTATATCACACAGTGAAACAGTATTATTTACTGGATGACAGAGTTTCGAACACAGTTTATTACTGTTCATAATCATAATCATAATCACAATATCACAATTGATATGATTATGAACAATAAATTTTGTTCGAAACGTCATCCAGTAAATAATACTGTTTCACTGTGTGATATACCTAATAAACAAACTAATATGGAATTACTTACTACAACAGTGCCCAAGTTTTACACATATATTAACTTGGACTTAGGTGTCATAGTTAGCCACGACTTAAAAACTACAGCACACTGTCGCGCGGTGGCTGCACGTAGTTTCAGGTCATTATGGGCAATTCGTAGAGCCTTCACTAGAATCATCAGAGATATGTTCACCTCCTTATATACATCTCTGGTGAGGTCAAGACTGGAAAACTGTATCCAGGCCGCCAGTCCTTGTCTAAAAAAGGGACTCACACATTCTAGAAAGGGTTCAAAGGAAGGTAACACGTACGGTTCTGGGCATGACTAATTTATCATACGAGGAAAGACTAGACAGTTTAAATCTCTTCTCCTTGTTATACCATAGGCAGAGAGGAGATTTAATCACAATAGTTAAAATTTTAAATAATGACTACGGACCTGACCTTTTCTCTCTTTTCCTTCCCACCAGGTCGGAACACCTTAGAGGACATAGAAGGAGAGTTCAAAAGCCATGAAGAAATCATATTGCTGTTGAGTACTGGTTATCACATCGAGTCATAAACTCTTGGAACCGACTCCCAGAAGAAGGGGTGTCTGCAACCTCAACTGATTCCTTCAAGAAGGGTTTGGACAACCACAGAAATTAACTAGAAAAGGATTAACATAGGCTCCAAGCCTTCTATCTTCAACCAATAAATCTGAATCTGAAAGGTGGCTCAACCACAGCTGACTAGCCGTGTAGCCTGACAATCCTGATTTCCAGTGTAATCATGACATCAGAATGACTAATGTCTGAAGTCAATTTGTGTTGAGATTATATATATAGTATTAGTGAAATTTTATCAAACTCAATAACTTAATGTATCCAGCTTTATTTTATCTGAATAAAATAGTTAGAGCGAACAATTATACATGTCCAAACCAAGTTCACTTTTAATAGTTTGAAAAAATTTGGCATTGATTATATGATATTCTATATGATATTATAATGAAGAGCGAACAATTGTGGTTTCAATAAATTCTTCTTCTTCAGGCTCTACAATTATAAATCCATTCATTTAAGCATACAATAGCCAGCCAGTCAGCCAGTAAAGGCAAATGAGAATCATAACAGAAAGTGTATTGTGGAACAATTATAAGATGGGGTGGTATGGAACAGTAGTCAGTTAGTTTTTTAATATGCATGGTCAATGAGAAAATGGGACAAAATGAGATGAAGTAATTTAATTTAATGATGTGTGTGTATATATATGTAAATATAGTCAACAGAAAATACAGGTTTCGAGAGTGAGTGTAATCAGGGTGTGTGAGACAATATGAAAATAAACCAACGAATAACAACAGTAAGAATTTTAAAACAATTAGTTCCCTTTATGAATTTAGAGAAAGCAATAAGAAGACGTAATTTGTCTGAATCGTGTAATGTATTTGCGCAACACATTTCGAACAATCTGATCACACACGGACATCAAGCTACCCTATATAGGGCATCAAAGCAGCTTGATAACTAGACAAAGACTGAACGCTGCTGTCAAAAAGACTTTTTATGCAGCCAATATCATAATAATAGAGAATGTAAAGCCAATATATCTATGTAAGCCCTTCGAACATGCGAAAAATGACGTCACATCCCACTGTATTTACCAATTTGAATGTACGTGTGGACACACATACATAGGGGGGACTCATCGATCTCTGCAAGTAAGGGCTTCAGAGCATATTCCTAAATGGCTCCAGAAACAAATGGAATCTTCAGAACCTATTAACGGTGAGAACAGGAGATCTAGCTCTTCTATTGCGAAACATATTATAGAGACAGGACATAAAATTGACGTTAACAAATCTTTTAAACCTATCTATAAAACGTGTTTGGGGCGTATCCTAAAGTTTGTGGAAGCCCTAGCAATTAGAAAGTTTAAGCCACCTTTATGCGTTCAAAAACAATTCGTCATCACATTAAACCTTCCTTGGTAAATTTTGTTTTGATGCCATAGCAGATGTACTATTACCTCTGTTATTTGGTTTAGTGGTCTTCATTGTTACTTTGACCTTGAATATGTCCTTTAAACTTGACCTAAGTAGTCTATTTTCTCACCTCTTACCTCTTTATTAATTTCATATATATTCCTATGACAAGTCCGTGTGTGATCAGATTGTTCGAAATGTGTTGCGCAAATACATTGCACGATTCAGACAAATTACGTCTTCTTATTGCTTTATCTAAACAGAAAGAATGATTGTAAAATAATAACGATGATATGGTGTAAAATTACATGCACTATTGGTGAATGATTGTCAAATAATAATAATGAATATAATGAAGTGGAATGAACAGGATTTTTGTAAATACGATAACAAGTTAGAAAAGTACTACTTAAACCTTGAACTTATGTCTAGACCGCCCCATTCGTTGGTTTATTTTCATATTGTCTCACACACCCTGATTACACTCACTCTCGAAACCTGTATTTTCTGTTGACTATATTTACATATATATACACACACATCATTAAATTAAATTACTTCATCTCATTTTGTCCCATGTTCTCATTGACCATGCATATTAAAAAACTAACTGACTACTGTTCCATACCACCCCATCTTATAATTGTTCCACAATACACTTTCTGTTATGATTCTCATTTGCCTTTACTGGCTGACTGGCTGGCTATTGTATGCTTAAATGAATGGATTTATAATTGTAGAGCCTGAAGAAGAAGAATTTATTGAAAACAATTGTTAGCTCTAACTATTTTGTTCTGAATAAATTATGGGAATATTCAATTTATTTTATCTGTTTAATGGTTGTTAGCTGCACAATCCAGATAGCATATTCCCTTCTACTAGGGAGTCATCAGAGGAATGTACTTGGATAACGTTTCAAATAAGGTTCGAGCCTAGAGTCCACTGTTTCGAATGTCAGATAGTTGTCCACTAAGCTTATGAACTAGGTGATCCAAATTTGGTCAAGTTGATATGATGCTATGCTGGCTGTGTCTCAGCTGGTTGGTGAATAACAATCCGTTATTTGAAACACTGTCATCTTTTTACCAGTCTTACCAGGAACAGCATTATCTACTGAGATCCAGGTATACCCAGATGACGAGGCCCAAATATGACTTCAAGCATATCCCAGGTTTAAGTTTGAATTAATTGACAATAATAGAATAATTGACTTCTAGGAGTCAAAACAGATTGACATCCATCTTGTTTCAAGTTTGAGATCTCCAGTTTTGTGGGTCTTATCACTTCTCGAAATGGGTATTCACTAATCTAACTTACTGGAGGTCGAATACCAATATTTTAAACTTTGTAGGCATCAGACATCAGTAGGAAGTGTTAATTGCGAGCTCAGCCTTTGAGAAACACCACAGAATGAGAGAAGGCAAATTATAGCAAATATTGGATCGTAAACGATTTGTTTGAAGGGGAGTCTAACACATTAGAATTTCAAGTCAATTTTATATATTGTTTTAATGACTTAATAATCTACCCAGAAGCACAAAAGATTTACAACTTACCGTCTGGTTTATTTGGATGTATACTTGCTAGGTGTGCGCAAGTTCTAGCCGGAGAATCCACTGTTCCCAATGGCACATTTGCGGCGATATTTCCAAATCTTCTTTTAATTGCAGGGTCATCGCTATACATTATTCCCTTGGTTCTTGAGGCTCGAGCTTGCATTGATACTATCTGACCAGGTGGACCAGGTAGACCTGGAGGACCAGATGGTCCTTGTGGACCAGGGGGTCCCAAATCACCATCTCTTCCTGGAGGTCCAAGTGGGCCAACTTCACCAGGATCTCCTCGATCACCTCGTGAACCTCTTGGGCCCATCGGTCCTGTTTCCCCTATTGGGCCTGGAGGACCTCTTGGTCCTTGATCACCTGGATAACCCATAGGACCGTCCAAACCTGGAGGTCCTGGTGGGCCGATTGGTCCCTTCCCACCTGGAGCTCCTTTCGGGCCTGGCTCTCCTTGTTTGCCCGGACGACCATCTTTTCCTGGAAGACCTGGTTGTCCAGAATCACCTCTAGGTCCTGGTTCTCCAGGAGACCCAGCAGCACCTGCAAGTCCTGGCTCACCCTTGCTTCCAGCAACTCCTACACCGCCGACTGCTCCACGAGGTCCGCGCATACCAGCACGTCCAATGGAACCAACAGGTCCAGGTTCTCCTGGTTTACCAACTTCTCCTGGTGGACCTCTGGCACCTGGGAAACCAGCAGGTCCTCGGCGGCCTGGTGGTCCAGCACGCCCAGGTGGTCCCGGGTCACCCGGATCACCAATCTCACCAACTTCTCCGTACCTACCAGGTGGTCCTTGTTCTCCCGGTGGACCCTCACTGCCTTCGCTACCAGGTGGGCCTTCTGGACCTGGTTCACCTGGAGGTCCCATGAATCCCGGGTAACCATGTGGGCCTGCTTCCCCAGGCTTACCAGGCTCTCCTGGCTCTCCTGGTTTTCCTCTTACTCCAGGAGGTCCACGCTGACCAGTTGGTCCCTTTCTCCCCACATTTCCGTTTAACCCTGGAGGTCCAGTCAGACCAGGTTCTCCAACGTCTCCTGTTGCTCCTATTGGCCCAGGTGCACCTCTTTGACCAGTTTCTCCTCGAGGACCTGTCATTCCCATTGCACCTTTATTTCCCGGTGGACCTTGTGGACCTTGTTCTCCAGCTGGACCAGGTTCACCAAATGGCCCTGGAGGACCAGGTGGCCCGTCATCCCCTGGAACACCGTCTGGACCATCTTCTCCATCGATTCCTGGTTGGCCATCTGGTCCTGGGGGCCCAGGTGGGCCTGAAAGACCTCGATCTCCTGGATCACCAACATCACCCGGAAGCCCTCTCTCTCCCGCCGCACCTTTAGCTCCTGGTTCTCCACTAGGGCCATAAGGACCTGGATGCCCACGGTCGCCTGGCAATCCTGTCCCACCAGCGGTGGCAGCTTGAACCTTGACTACACCCGGAAGTCCAGGTGGACCACGTAGTCCAGGTTGTCCACGTAAACCCTAATAGAAAGGAAAGGTGAGAATGAATTACAGTTCTAGCTTTTCCACGGAATAAAGGGGTCATATTTGGTAAGAAATTAGAATTTTACCAATATTAGAAGAATAATCTACGCATAATTCATCTTGTTTCGGCATATTTGATACTTTCTGTTTAAATATTTAGGCAGCAGTAAATACATTTGTCGTATTTTCTAAAATATTCTGATAACGTCATTCTGCTTAGTGATGCGTATGCCTGAGCGACTGTAACAGAATTTATCCTATTTCACTGGGTAATCTTTGATGGTTTTTTCAGTCGAAAAAAGAATCAAATTCATAAAGTTATAGATTAAATTTCATGAATAAGATCAAATTTAAGCCCTGTGTATAAGCCTACGCCTCTGTGGTTTCACCAGGGTTAGAACAGAGAACATTCGCCCTCGTAGGCCACTGGGACGGAGACTAATGATCCACCGATTCTAACTTCTTCCGATTCGCGATATATAGCGCGAACGCCAGCCGATGTCATCAACGACTATTTGTCTTCACAGCCAACGTGATGGCTCCTGGAGGTCATGACTACCCACTAGGACTCCAGGAAACTTCAACCGACCCATGGCTGAATAGTTAATGAACTCGACCCCGTAAGTTGAAAGCCCTAGGTTCGATTCCCGGTGAGGTCTAAATCGGAACTACTGGATTAAAAGGCTTATTGACCTAGACTGTATTCACATAGTTTGATGTTCTTTCTGTGGTGAATTTAAACTGCCTAAGAACTTAACTAGTATTTCATCTAATAATAATATTAATTTATTCAGTTAAGTTAATGTAACTAGCTGGACCAACAACAATACTCTAGAAGATGTGAACTTCGCGAGTGATTTAAGTTTAATATCACACAATCTTGAAGACCAGCAGGTGAAAACCAACAAGTTAACAGAAGAGCCAATCAACGAAGTGATAAAGATAACCAAGCAACAACGGCAAGCACCAATCACTGTCGACAGAAGAAGTTTGAAGGAAGTTACCTCTTTCACCTATCTAGGCGACATCGTTTCAACTATAGGCAATGCCACGGATAGGGATGTCAAAGCCCCGCGGGATGGGGAAATCAAACCAAACCTTCGTTAATCTGAAATCAGTGCAGAAATTTGTTGCACTTGGTGCAAAGAGCGAGATTTGGGTTTTAAACAACAACAATAATGTCAACTTATTCATGGCTTCTGTATGATTCCGATACTTGGCGTGCACATCACATAAAGCATTTTTACAACAGCTACTTGTAGACTTTCGTCGATAGTTGCCTTCGCTGATTCCGTACTGAAGAAGCGATGGCCAGAAAAGATTAGCAAGAAGAAACTCTGCCAACAAACAAACCAATAACTTACTATTATATTATTATTGTTTCCTTTAATTCCTACAGGAACATAGGGCTTCAGCCGTGCGTCTCCACTGAGTTCGGTTCTCTGCTAGAGTCTTCACCTCGCTCCAAGTCTGCCCACACCTTTTCATCTCTTCACATGACCTCCTCCAAGTCACCCTCGCACTGATGACCAACTCGCCGCTTCCCTTTCGGGTTCCACTCGAGCAATGGCTTGTCTAGTGATGTCACTTGATGGTTTCTCCAGAGTATGGCCAATCCATCTCCATTTCTTCCTGCCTATTTGTTTCACAATCGGTTCCTGGTTGGTTCGTTCATTGCCAGAGGTCCCTCCCTGTTGCTGATATTTTCTGGACATCCGATCTTGAGTATTGAGTGAGGACAGCTGTTGATGAAAGTCTGTAGTTTGTTCGAAGTGCTCCTCATGACGCGCCAAGTCTCTGATCCATAAAGTACTAATAACTTCACATTGGAGTTAAAATCTGAATCTTATTTTTCATGCTGAGTGTTGCTGATCTCCACACAGACTTGAGAGTAATGAAAGCTTGCCTTGCTTTCCCTATCCTCGCTTTGATATCCTCATCAGTTCCGTCGGCCTGTGGTTGAAACGATGCTTCCCAGGTAGGTAAAGGAGGTTGTTTCTTTCAGGCTCCTTCCATTTAGGCTGATTATTGTCTGTTGCTGTTGGTGGTGTTGCCCAGGAATCTTCATCACCTCTGTTTTCTCTATGTTCATCTGAAGTCCTATCTTTGATGCTTCTTCTGCCAACTTATCACCCAATAAATATGACGAAGAAAATAGAGATAGATTGGACACATGCTGAGGAGACCACTGACTGACAACGCACTCCAGGCATGACCTCGAGTAGAACCTGATCATGGAGGAGATCATGTGAAGAGGAGATGAGGGTCTATGGGTAATCATGAAGTCGGCTAAAAAGAACTGCAGAGAACAGGAGGAAACGGAAGTGCGATGTTGGATGCATGTGTTCCACTCAGGAGTGAATGGAATTACAGTAATACTTGGCGGAGATATGGATGAAACTTTTTTTTTTAAAATTTCATCCTCTCATGTTTTACTCAACTTCTAACAAACCTAAAGTTGGAATATTAAGAGAATTTCGAAAATTGAATGAGTGAAAGTGGAAATGGAGCTATGTTCCCGGTAATATTTTCCTAACGGTCGTTGTAAATATTTTGGATATAAATTTTTCACTATTTGGGTTTTATCTATTCAGCTCAAAAGCATTTAAATAATGCTTAGTTTTGATGTCTACTACATTACTAGGTTATTGGTCATAGCATGTATTCATAATTCAGTGGTCAATTCAACAAGTCTGAATATTGAGTTTTTGCAAAGTTTTCTAGAATGAGAAATCTCAAACATTTACTCATTTCATCACTAACACTTACCAGACGACCATCGGTACCCGGAAGGCCAGGAAGTCCTGGATCACCAGCTGCACCATCAACTCCAGTTTCTCCATTTGGACCAGGTACACCGACTAAACCGATAACACCCTTTGAGCAAACAAAAGAGATAATAAAGCGATGTGGAGATAATATACACTCAAACCATATGTAATGGTAGGAGAAAGAATGAATAACTACTGAGAGAGTAATCAAGGGTTTTAACTAAAATTTTAAACTGATACTATTATTGGACATGTTTATACAACAAATAACAATAAAAACACTCTAGTATAACGATGATTAATCACAACTGTTAGGTGAATAGATGTGCATAAACTTTCGTCTCTGTGTAAAATACGTGGTAGTGAACCTAGTCATATCTATACATGCTGTTTTCAACTTACCGTAGACAAGTATGTTTATAAAATACTGCAGGAACCTATTAAACAAGGTTAGTTTGGCTTATTAAATCCCTCATAGTTACTTGATGAGATACCGAAGTTGTCGGTTGGCTTGACAGATCATAGTCAGTTATACAATCCAAGCAGATAAAACGTAGTTGAGTCTGGATTAATAAACCTTTAGTAGGAGAGCTTATAAGTAATATATGTTGTCTCACATAATTAATTATAAGGGAAGATAGTCAGTTTTAAAAACGAAATAGCTAAAAAGAGCAGGGAATATTTGAGAAAGTGAAGCTCAGTTTACTGAATCATAATGAAATGTGTTCAACAGGAATGATTCAAAATCTATTCTAGTTATATGGAAATATTACTTAATACTTCTATAACAAAGGATGGTAAATCGGTGGCTCAGTGTTAGAATGCTCGCCGACTGTGCACGTAGTTCAGGGTTCAATTCCTAGCCCACACCCTCTTAAACCTCACTCAGCGGGTAGTAATTCAGGTAAAGGAGGAAGGTTGGGCGGGGGGACCAGCTTTTCCTACCCAGTAAAAATAAACATCACTGCTACTGAAGCTTCAGAGCTAAAGCTTGGAGCTCTGTGTTCCACTTGGGACACAAAAGAATGAAAAAAAGCTAGCTGGGGTTTTAGCTAACATTATGAAAGCAGTCAACAGTATTTCCACAGAGCTTAGTGCTGGACTGTAAATTTACATGTGAAATAAAAATTGACGAGAAAGAGGTAATAAAGAAACTCACGGTTAAATGAGTACTACTACTCAATTCGACAAGGTAATCGTATTCGATATCAAGAAGGCCCAAAAGCCAAAAATCTTGACTACTTAAGAAGTTTTGCCTAGTCTAGTGTGGATGCATTTGACTACAGTTTACAAAACAGCAGGTAAGTAAATGTGCAGCTTTCCCTTATGTTGCAGTTACATTGGTGTAGAATTGAACTGCTTGTCACCATGCAATGGCAGAAGATAAGAGAATCGCCAACGGACTCGCTTATTAAGGGAAAACAGATATTTATTCATTTTTAACCACATTAAATGTTAGCTAGATCAGTGGACAGTGAATTATTCTGATTGGTTGGAGATTGGCTCAAGGTTAAATAATGGGGCAAAAGTTGTCCAATCAGATTATTTCATTTCTACATCGTAAAGTAGATCCAGATTTGAAGGATAAACACTTCTACTTCTGCATCCATTGACTGAAAATGTTGATTTCAGTTTTGGCCGATTCCTATCAATCCGCATCGATATAAATCTTGTCCGCAACACACGCTACAACCACAGTGGAATACTTGCTTACTTCATGTTAAATCCATGCTCGGCTCTATACAGGCACAACTGAAATTCGCCATGTAAATAACTTTTAAAAGTAAAGTAATCGTGATCCATATTGACAGAAGTATCATGAACATTTTCACACAATGTGAGTAAAAATCAATAGTAACTGAAGTGATGTAGTTACTACAACTATTTCATTAAAATAATTAAATATGATATTATGTATTACACGAACAAATAACTTACATAGACTCCTGGTGGTCCCATTACACCCTCTTGACCTTTTTTGCCTCTTTTACCCTGTGGTCCAGGCGGTCCACGATCACCTCTTCGACCAGGTTTGCCTACAGCGCCTGGCTCACCTGGTGGGCCTTGAGGACCAGGTTTACCATCCTTGCCAGCCAATCCATCTTTTCCATCCGCTCCAGGTGGACCATCATAACCTGCTGGTCCAGGTGGTCCAGAAGCACCTACAGGACCTTCAGGACCTTGATCTCCTACTGGACCTGGTAGTCCTGGTGGGCCAACAGCACCTGCAGGACCTTCTGGGCCAGTTTCTCCATCAGGTCCAGGATCACCTATATCTCCACTGTCACCATGACCACCTGGTAATCCAGTTGCACCTTTAAGTCCTTGTTCACCAACAGGTCCTATAGCACCCTATAGTTTGCAGTAAAATAAATTTAGAAATTATCATGTTATCATTTTTTTTCAATAGTACATTACTTGGAATTACACAATATGGATTCATATTTACTCTAAAATGTAACACTCATGTGACTTCAATGTAACCAACTCCAGTGATTAGTTTGTAGAGTCTGGAACAATATGACTGTACAGCTTCTTGTTAAATGTTAAAAATGGAAACATTGTACATAACTTTTGTTTAAAACGATTCATGGTAAAATATACATCACTTCGGAGTACAATCTAAAAATGCAGTGTGCTGCTGGACGCTTCGTCTTCCCACTGGTCCATACTGTCTAACTGCTTCATTACTAACTGTGTTATATCCTTTGGATTTTGCAGGAACCTCTCATCCAAAGACTATTGTACAACCGGTATACAGCTTCAACTAGTAGACACGACTCCAGCAGTGGACAATATTGTGGATTATATGAATAATTTGTAGCAGCGGACTTTAACTGTATCACCAAGTACCATTACTTTTTCTATAAGCCGCTGACTGTATTTTTATAATATACTGTTACGATGTTATTTCATAAACATGGATTTTTATTCTGATATTTTGTACCAAAATGGTACCTCTTTTGGGCGTTCGTGGCATAGCGGTTAGGACGCTTGTCGAACATGCATATGGTTCGGGGTTCGATCCCCGGCCGGCGCACACCGGATATCAATTATCGGCCTGCTAAATTTTGGGCTACCGATATCACATGCTGAAAATTCCATACTTGTATCAAAAATTCTGTGTGGAGACAAGCTACAATACAATAAAGATAAAATAAGTAAAAAAAATCTAACTCACAGTTTCCAAATTTATATGCCAGTTGTAATTTACACAGTTCTAAGAGTTATAATCTCACCATAGTTTCCTTTAGAAACCGAACTACTCAGATCACAGTTTAGATCACCTCGATCTAGGTAGCAAACATTACTGGTTGATATGAGTAGGATACAACTACTCACATCAACCAATCAGTAGTATATAGTTTCATGCAAAATATTCAAGCATTCCTGAAAAATATACATATTCATTGTATTCCTTGGAAATGTATGACTCTCCATACAAGCAACTAAAACAATTTCTGGAAATATCTGCCTCAGTTGTGTTTAAGACAGCTGTGTGCACAACTGAACCTTCATTCAATAAACAGACTCGTTAAAACAGGGGACATTTATTCTATAGTAAGAGAAAACTTTAGGCACTTTGGCACACTATAATTATTCCTATATTAGATAAATTAATTTATTTTAAAGCTCAGTGATGCAGTATTAATAAATAAATGATGTTCAAAGGACGATTTGTCTCTCGCAGTCATCTCAAGGCGATATGATACCTGTATTATTACATCAAATAAACGTATCTGATATGGATTTGTTTTCACTTCACTTTTGATTTTCCCGTTGGCTGATTGGATCGAAACGCTCTGCCTCTGTTGACAAATCATCTCCCAAATACGATCACTTCGACGACCTCTCAGGATTAACATGATGAAGTAACTTGATGGATAGTGACTAGCGGTTAGAACGAGGATGTGAATTTCGTCCTATTTGTGATTCGTCATCTGAATGTACCTACGCTCCCCAGTGAGTGATGGTGTTCACACTGGGAGCCGAGAGAGCTTCCATACTGGGAGCTGACATATTAACACAGGAAAACACATTCCGGTCCAATCAATCAACGGGAAAATCAATATTGAATTAAAAACACATAATAACTGATGCCTCTTGTACAAGAAGTGGCTCTCGTGGCACTAGTAGCCTAGTGGACAACATCTTGGCGTTTGAAACGATGAGTACTGGGTTCGAGTCTCGGTAGGAAGACTCACTCACTCACTGAGTCCCAAATAAGGCGAAATTCACATCTTTGATTCCATTTCTAGTAACGTTCCACTAAATTATCTGATTAAGTGGATATATTAGCTTCTTCACCACGTAGCTCCTAGCCACATACATTCATTCAGTGATTTTCTTGCGGATTTGTTAGTTTCTTCATTCCGGATTTACCAGTCTCATTTGTGAGTAATATTTGTTATATATGCCAGAATCATTCAGACAAAGACGAGAAATGTATCCCATTATGTCACTTCTGATGGGAAAGCGTGAATAACTCAAAATAGGTAACAGGTAGAGTGAGAATAACTGATTATTTTAAATAATTTATAATGATTCAGTCTGACTCAGAGGTCAGACTTTTCCATCTACAGTCTGGATACTTATAGAGAATAAGTGAATTTCTGAATCTGCTAAAATTCATGCTCTCGCAATCTATTTTTTTAAATAGGAAGTTGTCCAACTCCAATATGAAGCACTTCTTGGGTGCATAGATTCACTACTGTACGAGAAACATTTCGGTTATCTATACAAACGAAATGTAAAGAACTGCTGTACCATAAACGCATCATTATATGCAGTTGGAATGATAAATAATTAAGATATTGATTTGCAATATAATTACAATTTAATTTCACAAAATCTTGACTTACTGTTGGTCCTCTTGGTCCTACTTGACCCATAGGTCCCATTGGTCCAGCATGTCCAGGTGTTCCACTTGCTCCAGGTAACCCAACCGGCCCCACTGGTCCTGATCCTCCTTTCACTCCAGGCACTCCGTTCATTCCATGGGCACCATTTTCACCACGAACACCAGGTGCTCCATCTAGACCTGGACGTCCAGGTGGACCAGGAGGACCTGGAAGACCTTGTTCACCTGGAGCACCAGGCTCCCCAGGACTTCCTGCAAGTCCAGGCTGTCCATCAAGACCTGGACTTCCAGGGCTTCCAGCCATTCCGAGTTCGCCTTGTGCACCCTTAAAAATGTCAAAAAAGTTCGGAGATAAGATTTGAGAGATTTCAAGGGATAATTATCTGGAATATTTAAATTTTTCCTATAAAATTAAAAATGTCCTCCATGTACTGGACAAAATCTCTACTTGTGTGATGATGATGGAGTTTGTTTGAATACATCCAGTGGGGAACACAAGAGTAAGTTGGATGACCACTGACATCACCTCCGGTTATGTAATAAGATGAGCGTTACCCAGAGTAGGTAGGATATTGTTTTATTTATTGTTTAATACGTCTCATTGTATCTTGAATTCTATTCGAATAGTTTACCTTTTTAGATACAAAAGAATGTTGCTGAAATATTGTTAACTTTTTGGGGTTCACTTCTTTGAATTTCTACTTCTCCATGTCAAGTACCACATTACCGTACTACTTCATAGCATTGAGCTAAATAAAGAACTCTCATAATGTTGACGCTTCTAATGATTTGTATGTTTACTGGAAAACCATGGCAACAGGGCTTTCCTTTCACACCATAAACAACCAAGATATTAATTTGTATTCAATTTGTTAAGTATATAATAAGAATTGCAATATGAATTACAAAAAAGGAATCACGAGTAGACCAAAAATTTGGAGATATTAATTTTTTCTTGAAAAAGGTAAATAGATGCTCCCATGAAAAGCCATTATCTCTTGAAGATTCAGTGAGCATGATATCTACACTTACGTTAACATCTCCGTTAGTCAAAAACTGAAACACTGATAACAATAAATTCCCTACTAAATTGTTAATTTTGATATATCACACAGCGAAACAGTATTATTTACTGAATGACGAAGTTTTGAACACAACTCATTGTTCATAATTATATCGATTGTAACTACATAACTTTGAAACTTCTGTTTTATGATTTCTGTCCTTCCCTCCTTTTCTGTTCCTGGTAGGAGTAGTGGAATTTTCCAGATATCAGGGTGGATAGGTGCTGAATCATTCCTATTGCGCTTATTCTCAGTTGATTTAATAAATAAACCTTCCATTACCAATCTATCTCTCTCTTTCCACCCTATTGTTTAGATTTTAAGACTGTCATTTTATCCCGTTCTATTGTAAAGTTGTATGTCGTGCTATAGCTGAGTTATTTTCTAGATTTCTTATCACGGTCTTTAATCTAAATTTTGCTGGATTTTAGAGCTGTAATAGTCTGACTGACCTCATTGCACTGTGGTAAGAACTTGCTGCAGACCAAGACTATAGACAGAAATTTACGTCAATGATACATACCAAATTGGGTCATGAGAAAAAACATGAACAAAGCTTAACCTTGGGAAAATCACCAACCAACCACAGCGGACTTAGTGTGTGCAAATACGATTCGCAGATATATGTCTTAACTTTTTGAGAAACGGTCACGAGTAGTACAAAATAGCCTTCAGCAAGAAAACAACCAATCAGAAGACGTTGCTTCTCTACTAAATAACTCTAATAATAATGTACATAAAAATCTATAAACATCTGTTGATTTTCTCAATAAACGATCTGTTGACTGGCCCTTGTCTTCTGTCGTTGCACTACTACTCTGACCTATGTATTTGACCTCACAATCATTGAGAAATATTGGATAAAAAACTATTTTATGGGTTCCAAAGGATCCTCTTACTGACATAATTTGTTTCTATTACCCCTACAACGAATAGGAAGGAATAAAGAGAACTATAAAAGTCAAATTTCGAAGATGTGTAGTCACGATTGATGGCATGATTATGAACAGTAATGAATTGTGTTCGAAACTTCGTCATCCAGTAAATAATACTCTTCCACAGTGTGTGACATGTTCAGTAAACAAATTAGTATGGAATTACATATGACCACAGTGACCAAGGTTAATTATAAAACTTAGAATTTCGGGATATATGTTAATTTTTAATGAATGATAATATTTATATATTCACAATATTCTCATCACCTATCTAAAACATAGAATCTGTATACACTATCAGATTCGTGATTCAACTCACTTGCCAGTTACATTTTGCATTCTTATTATTCAATCATAAAAATTAGCTAAAAAGGTGTATCAACCTGATCCACTACACTGTTGTGAGATTTGAATTCACCCACAGCTTTGAAAGATCTTGTTCACTTCTTGAATAAGAAAAATTAACAGACGTTGTTATTCAAGTGTTGATTTGTAGGGATTTGATTGATTGGTTAGGGGATTTCATCATGAGTTGACATTGGTTAGAGAACCGTTGGAAAACCTGGGAGTAATAGACCACTCTTTCGTCAGGCTAGTTTAGGACTCTTCATCTGTATGCAGCCCCCTCCAGGGTTAGAAACCAGGACCTTCTGGTTACAAGGCAACCTCGTAGACCATTAAGCTACTGGGAACAGACGTTGTATTTAAACAACTAAGTGAGTAGTTCAACAAATATTTCTTGCATTTTTTAGATTGTGTCACAAACCAACATCAGTTAGAGAGATCACTGAAACCAGCGGGGAGTACTGGACAGCTGTTTTGTTTTATTTTGGGACTCCTCACTAGTGTTCACCCACAAACCCACCATCGATCGCCAACTCATTGATAGCTGCTGGATGGATGTAGTGAGAAGTTATGACCGTTTCAAGGTGATGCAGATACTCATCAAAGGCATTGGCGAGAGTAGCACTATGTAATGGAATGACAGAGGTTAGAATTCACGGGTCATTGGATTCTAGCCCTAGTGGCTGAAAGGTCAGCGAAATCAGTCTCGTAATCTGAAGGTCCCAAGTTTGGTCCCTAGTGGGGTCAAGGGTGCGCACTGTTGAAGAATCCTAGAGCAGGACGAAGCAGAGGCCTAGTATTCCATGCTAGTGGTTCTGAATTATCTCTCCAACTGATATTGGTTTGTGACGATAATCTGAACACTGAAATTCGTCCAAAATCCCCATAAATTTCACAATCTAAATACTTATTTTTTTAAATTTGTTGGAATTAAAATTTCCATCAAGGCATCACCGAGTGATTAGTGATTAACTTAGTTATTATTTAAGACATTGCATAAAAAATTAGTAAAACCGTGCCGTGTTTACTAAAAACATGCAGGGCATATTCGAATTTAGTTGGAAATTACAGAGAAATAGTTCTTTTTTCCGGAAGAATTTAATACTTTAAAAATCTAGGCTATTATAATGTGGTAGTCATGATTGATTTTTCAAAGACGAAATTGACTGTCGATCATAGTGACCTGTAAGCCATCGTAAAAGTGCTCGTGACCTATTCACGTCTGTCTATCGAGAAATGACAAATAAACAGTTCAGCTTTAATTGCCTGTCCTCTGCTTCTATTTATTTTCGGCCTAGAATGAGATAAAGCCATCCGTTTGTGTAAGCACCCTTGCCGCAACGGTAGAATGCTCGCCAATCACGCGTGTAGTCAGGGGTTCGATCTCCGGCCACCGACGCACTCCTTTACCTCGCTAAGCCAGTAATTAGACTGATAAAGAGGGAAGGTGGGGCACGAGGCTAGCAACCCCATCCCTTAAAAATAGATAAACACCACTGCCACCGAAACTTCAATCCTCTAGCTTGAAGCTCTGTGTTCCATTGGGAACGTAAAGGAATAAAAAAAATCGATTTAGCTGTCTATAGTAGAGATATTAAGATATTACCAGTATTCGAATTTTATATCTTCACTTGTACCCATAACAGGATGGTCATCTGAAGGCTATCGCTTTGAATCGTTTCACAATCATGATACTTTTTTTAACAATTCTTTAACAATTTCTTCAAACAAGGCTTTATCAATCAGTCCTATCAAAATTTCGAAGTTATTCACTGTGTTTTGATTTCAAGATAAATAACGAACTAACTGACTTCAGTTAGAGAACCACTGATAAAACCATCAGGAAATACTTGACAGCTGTATCACCCTGGTTCAGATCTCTTCAGCAGTACGAACCCATGATCGCACCATGGATTGAACCGCAGTATGTTCAGGTTAAAAGGTAAACTTGTTGGCATTACAGTCACTGGGAAGGCATCCACCGGTCAATAAATTCTAACTTCGTCCGATTCGCGGTATGTGTAGCATGACCATCAGCCAATATCGTCGACGATTATTTTCCCTCACACCCAACTTGGTGGATCCCACTGATTGTGACTTTTCACCAGAATAACTTAAGGCAACTACATCCTGCAGTCAGTTGCTAGTGGCTAGCAGACCAATTGTCAAACGTTGATTGGTGACTGATTTCAAGACTGATTTACTAATTCTTTCTATCATGAAATAATAATCGACCCACACAAAAAACTTGGAGGATCTGGATTTCGCCGATGATATATGTCTCATTTCCCACAAACTGGAAGATATGCGAGTGAAAAGCAACAGGTTGGAAGAACAAGCATCAAAGATAGAACTTCAGATAAACATAGAGAAAGCAGAGGTGATGAAGATTCCTGGCCAACAGCAACAGCAACAACAACAGACTACAATCAGCGTAAATGGGAGGAACCTGAAAGACGTAACCTCATTTACCTACCCACCTACCTACCTGGGAAGCATCGTCTCAACTACAGGCGGACGGAACTGATGAGAACATCAAAGGGAGGATCGGGAATGCAAGGTAAGCTTTCATTACTCTCAAGTCTGTGTGGAGGTTAACAGCACTCAGCATGAAAAATAAGATGTGGATTTTCAACTCCAATGTGAAATCAGTGCTACTTACTATACGGATCAGAGACTTGGCGCGTCATGAAGGGCACTTCGAACAAAACAAAAGACTTTCATCAATAGCTGTCTTCGCTCAATACTCAAGATCAAATGGCCAGAAAAGATCAGCAACAGGGTGGGAACTCTGTGAGCCAACCAACCCATCAGGAACCGATTGTGAAACAAATATGCAGGAAAAAATGGACGTGAATTGGCCATACTCTCAGAAAACAAGCCATCAAGTGACATCACACGACAGGCCATCACTCGAGTCGAACCCGAATAGGAAGCGGCGAGTTGGTCGTTAGTGAGAGGTTGACATGGGGGAGGAGGTCATGTAAAGAGGAGATGAATGCATGCGGGCAGGCGTGAAGCCAGGTAAAAAGTGTGGCATAGAACCGAACGCAATAGAGACGTGCGGTTGAAGCCCTATGTTCCTCTAGAATCTAAAGGAAACAATAATAATAATCAACTCTTCTTTACTTTATTTTAGGAAACTTTCAACTTTATTCGTGTTTGCCTAATTAATTTATCAAAAAAAAACGAACTAATCTGGGTTGAATAAGAAAGGCATCCCTTTTTTCTTCTTCTCTACACTTCAAACTGATCCGATGAAACACCGAATCGCTGATGACAGCACATACACACTGGCACACAAAGAGAGAATACAAAATCTTAATTAGTCTGAAATTTTTATAGCGATTCTCCATCGTAGCCCATTAATAACTGCCAAGGGAAAGAAAAAGACTGACCAACTATTCATGCTTCATCTATTGACTAAGTGAAATAATTCAGAATACTACTACAACATAATTTCTGGACAGATAGAAAAAAGAGGAAGAAGGAGAAGACGCAAAAGGGATAACCACCTCTTCAGTTAGATAGAAAGAAGCATAGACAAATGTCCACTAGTTAGAATTAATCTATCTATCTATCCTATGCCATTGATAATCTTTGCAAATGCCAAATTATCGATTAGTAGAAGAATGCACCATGTAAACTGCCTTTCTATAGGTCGACGATTTCGATTCTTCTGTGTATATTATTAGGCCTAATAATGTTTCTTGGAATTTTTGGACAACTGAATGCATTTTTTTCCTATTGAAGGCATCACTGAACAAAGTGAAATTATATGTATATATATACATGATTGGTAGTATATCTAAGATGATTGGAAAAAGGCGTATTTCAGTAATCGAATTAGTGATAATCACAAAAAACAGTAACTAGAGGTATTGTCTTTTATTTCGCTGTGCAACAGAAAATTAGGTTTTTGCAACTACCGGCTTTAACCGGTAAACTGTTTTGTTAGCTGTAAGATTATCATAGTATATATCGTCTTATGGATATAATTAATCTCAAGTTTTATCAAGGATTGATATCCATTAGAGAGCTATTGAAAACCAGCAGGGAATAGTGGATAGCTATTTCGTCCCAGTTTGGTACTCTTCATCAGTACCCACCCACCGCCAGGATCTTTCGGTTACAAGGAAAGCTTGTAGATCATTCAGTGACATATGAATTCCAGTTTCAGCTTATTCGTAATTTTAGTGTGACAACCAGATGACGTTACCACTGGCAACTTTGTCCTGTAGCCATCGGCTGAATGGTTTACGAAGTTGCCTTTTAACTGGAAGATTCTGGGTTCAAACCCCGGTAGGTGTGTATTCTGCTGACTGAGTCCCAAAGTAGGGCGAAACAAACGTCCAATACTTCCTGGTGGTGCTCTAATGGTTCTCTGACTGATATCGATCCGTGATAAAATTTGAAATAAACCAAATCCCTACAAATTAGCTCTTGAAAGTATCACTAATCGTTTAATATCCCGCTGGTATACTTCAAACCTGTGTTATAAACCATTTATAATTGTCTGCATTTCAACCGGAATGTTGGACTTCAAGATTTGAAGTTTCAGTAGCGCTGTTGCTGTTGTTGTTGCCTTTTGAGGGTTTAGGACTGCCAGCTTCACGCCCAATCTACACTGTATTCCGTCTAGTTATTATTTAACAAGCGCATTGGCCGGGAATCAAACCTGCACATACAGAGTGACTGGCATGGATTCTACCATCGCTAGTTAAACGATTAATTACAGACACTTCTTCAGAGTAAGTATTATTATTATTGTATCCTTTAATTCTTGGAGGAACATAGGGCTTCACCCCACGTCTCCATTGCGTTCGGTTCTCTGCTAGAGTCTTCACCTGGCTCCATGTCTGCCCACACGCTTTCATCTCCTCTTCACATGACCTCCTCCAAGTCACCCTCGTACTGACGACCAACTCGCCACTTCCCTTTCGGGTTCCACTTGAGCAATGGCTTGTCTAGTGATGTCACTTGATGGTTTCCTCAGAGTATGGCCAGCCAATCCATCTCCATTTCTTCCTGCCTATTTGTTTCACAATCCGTTCCTGGTTGGTTCGCTCATTGCCAGAGATCCCTGTTGCTGATCTCTTTTGGCCATCTGATCTTGAGTGGTATTGAGCAAAGACAACTGTTAATGAAGGTCTGTAGTTTGTTTGAGATGCTCTTTATGACGCGCCAAGTCTCTGATCCGTATAGTAGCACTAACTTCACACTGGAGTTGAAAATCCGGATCTTATTTTTGATGCTGAAAGTAAGTAGCAAACCTGGAATTCACATCTATCCAAACAAAGCTAGCTTCCTCTGTCGAAAACTACACACTGAAACGAAATTTTGTAGTTTTTTAACTTATTCTCGTACTTTATAAGAATTTGCTTTGAGAAACATTATGTTGTGTCTGGGTTTATCGAAGGCTCAGTTCTAGTTAGGAAGGAAAGCTTTTGTGACCGGTAACACAAACTGCTAAATAATTTGTAATATTCCCATTATAACTGTTTTACTGCCTATTTTGGAGTATCAAAACAAAATATCTATGCCGCATTCAAGGAGGTAATAACTCAACTGTTGATCCCAGTCATAAATTGAGTGTAAGAATTCCCATTCAGAATTCACATCAACGCAATACTGTAAATTGTTGTATCCCTTATTTTACCAAACTTCGACATGTGGTTACATTCTGGAGAACTTATTTTTCTGGATGATAGTTAGGCGTGAAAGTTGAGGCAACCTGAACAAACTTGGTTTAAGGCAATATTTCAACTCGATTTCCACGCCTTTATATGTGTTACTTATGAACATTGAAGGTGACAGTTTATCAATCTGTGTTTCTTAAAAAATATGTACAATGCAAGAAGATCTTAGTGGATACAGAGTAGTTAGTTTATGGTTTCGAAACCCTCAATAACTAGGCGCTTCTTTTTTAGCTTCAGTCATAGTCTTATCAAATTGATACTAACTTTCCTGACGAACATCATCTCGCAACAACTACTCCGCTAGTTAGTCATTTGCTCTTTATCCCTAATTTAACTAAATTTAGATAAAGATGAGGATTTACAACTTAACAGTTAGTAAGTATCATTATAGTATTAAAGAGAAAGTTCCTTATCACTCATTCTCATTGATCTTTAAATATAGTGAAACTAAGTTATAATCGTGTATAGAATGGTCACTAAATACTCAGTTAGGCAAGGTTTGATTTCCGGCCGACTCACTCTTAAACTTCTCCAGATTTCTTTAGAATTAAAGAGCATTCGAAACAGGAATCCTTGAGTTAAACTGATGTCGAATACTGAGTAAAATTACTAAATGGGTATAGAGTTACAAGTCGAATAATTCTGGGCTTAACATTTAAACTAGTAAGCGAGTAAAATTGTCATCATTTAGGTATCATTAGGCTTTACTGTGATATACTTAACTTTCAAGAGTTGGTTTTTAGGGATTTGGTTTATTTCAAGTTTGATCACAAAGTGGATAGCTGTTTCGTCCTAGTTTGGCACTCTTCAGGCTAGAAGGCGAACTCGTATACCATTCAGCCACTGAAATTCAAGTCAACTGCCCTTGATACTTTACAAATAAATGTTAAATAAAAACCAATCATCGGGATGTGTCAATAGGCTGATAAAGTTGTGCATATAAATTAGTACAGTCATTATTCGTCTCTTGACCAATGAAGACCTACTCAACTGGTTACATTTAAAACCACCCTTCATGTATTTTCAATCCTTTGCTTACTAATTTTTTGTCAACCCTTCCTTAGTCTTCTTACATCTTCATTAAAGCCTAGTTCATTAACTTTCAGTGCAGTCTACAATTACATAATCTTACGATTGGTCTGTCACTTACCATCAATTGGATCTAACCAAAAAAAGGTTCTGACTACTTTAGTAAAGCAGTTGAGTAGTGTGATTAACTGTCTCGTAACCAGTTTATCTGCTACTAATGAGATGTAGTCATCAGTAATATTTGCACTTTGTTGAGCACTTATATATACATTATTCTCGTTGTCGTTCTCATCTACATATACAATTTTCGGTTGGAATTAAGTATTTTCTTGACTGAGTGGTGTAGAAAACCGCTTTCATTAATAACTTTCTTTTAAAACCCTAAAAACAAGTTACGGAGGTCTTTATGAAAACTTTGGATTAAAATTAAAATAGCCCTTAGTGGGAATATCAGATATTGTCATGTATGACACTGAGGTAAATCACTATTCATGTAATTTTTCAAAAACATTTTTACCTTTATTCCTATTGGTCCTGCTAATCCACGTTCTCCCCGAGGTCCAGTTTCTCCACGTTCACCTGGACGTCCCAACTGGCCTTTCTCACCCTTTGGACCTTGGGGTCCTGTTGGTCCTTCTACTCCAACTGAACCCGGTTCTCCTTGTGCACCTTTAGGACCTTGAAGTCCTGAACGTCCCATTGTGCCTCTTTCACCTGGTCGTCCTGATACACCCATAGATCCTTCAGGTCCTCTTTGACCTGGTTCACCTCGGACACCTGGACGGCCATCATGACCCATTTCACCCTGAAAAAAATAAGATGAAAATACAATCAACCGTAACATTTTGCTAGGACAGATTATCCAAACCATTTGTGTATTGACATGCTTAGAGGACAACGTCCATGTGAGAAAAAATACTTATTATTATGTGCCGAATATTTAAAAAACTCATTTAGTTATAAGTGCTTACCTGAATTCCTCGCTCTTTACTCAATCCAGGATGTCCAGGTGGTCCAGTAGGACCTTTTTCACCTTTCTCTCCTTTAGCACCAGTCAAACCACGATCGCCTTTTTGTCCAGCAGGTCCAGATGAACCTGGTCTTCCAGGACTTCCCATTGGTCCTTGTGGTCCTACTGCACCGACTCTTCCAGTTGGTCCAGATTCACCTCTTGGACCTGGTGGGCCAGGTGGGCCGATTGGCCCCGGTGGACCAGCAGGACCCATTGGACCTTGAGGTCCTTGAGGTCCCATGGGTCCTTGTGAGCCCTAAATTTATAGGAAGATAAAAATTGAAAATAAAATCTCAGAGTTTTTTTTATCGAGAGCCGACTTAGATTTAAAATAAAGCACGTTAATCATACTACATTTAAGTTCTTGGTTCTCTTTCTTTATCAGATGAATACGAAACTCTCGGTATTTTAGGGAACCCGTGGTCAGAATTCGTCTTATAAAAATATAAACGTGAATACTGACCTGAAAACTTGAATCTGTAGGCGTGCTTAATGTCAGCTTGATTCTCAGTCACACCGTTTTAGATATTAAATTTACTTGACTTGATTCTGTAGCCTGTATAGTACTTATATCTTTCACTCAGTAGATAGAGGCTGCCAATTGATAGTGAATGTAGTAATAAATAGTTTATGTTGTTAGATGGCTAGAGGCGACTGGCAGGAAGCTTTCGACATAGGTTTCGTGCTTGGTGTCACTCACCATTCACCAAGACGTATCTTCAATCTCCAAAGAACTCATGGGCCATCTGAGTTTCAAACTCTTCGGTTACCCAGTGGTGCAGTCAGAGACGTTACCGCTGAGTTATTTGGGCTCGCGACTGACCTCCTTTAACGACTGTATTGAATACTTTGATTAGACACTAGACAGTAGTTAATAGGGCTTGCTGACGACTGTCCAGTCAAAGAATAGTTTATGTATCTGCAATAATGCAAAACGTCAAAACGCAACCTGAGTGGTTTACCACTATAATATTGTAGTATTATTACTATTGTTCCCTTGGGTTCCTAGTGGAACATAAGGCTTCAACTGCACGTCTCCACTTGCTTCTGTCCTCTGCAGTACTTTTCACTTGCATCCATGTTAGTCCATACTGTTTCAACTCCTCTTCACACGATCTCTTCCATGTCACCCTTGGACGTCCTACTCGCCGCTTCCCTTTCGGGTTCCCTTCGAGCGTTGGTCTGACGCGCGATGTCACCCAGCGGCCTCCTCAGCGAGTGTCCAATCCATCTCCACTTTCTCCTGCATATTTGTTGAGCGATTGGTTCTTGTTTCGTTTGTTTGTTCCCATAGTTTCTTGTTGGTGATTCTTTCCGGCGGTCATCTGATCTTCAGTATAGAGCGAAGACAGTTGTTGATAAAGGTCTGCAACAGGCTGTTGGAAATATTCTTTGTGACACACTGGCCAAGTTTCTGATCCCTATAGAAGAACTGACTGACTTGACGTTTGTAATAATATTAGAAAATTTTTATTCACCTCCGTAACATTAAAGAGTGTTTCGCTGATCCAATTTCCACAGAAATGAGGGGAAGTAACTTAGGGATCAAGGTAGATTCTAAGTGAAAGCATTTATTACGGGAATCTGCACTACTTTAGAAATTAATATTTCAGGAACAAATCAGAAATTCATAGTAAAATTCGTACGTTGTATTATGTAGACAGTCTGAACTAGATTAGAAATTTGATAGTGCCATTAACCACTTAAGAAGTTTTATTATGGGAAGATAAGTATACTTCAAGTACATCAGATTGCTTAAAAGTATTCTTAAGAATATTTCTGAGATATCCTGCCTTGAAGGTCAAGGGTAACCTTGGTAACTGTTACTAAATTTTTTAACCTTATAAACATTATTCACTGGTCTAGGAAATCTCAGATTGTAAATATTTTTATACATACCTATTTGCTAAACAGTGTTTATGGAGTGATTTATATTCTCATGGTATAATAGTCATTTTGACTCCTTATGACTCATCTACATACACTTTGTTTTATCCTAAGAAAGTTCATAAATTTGAAGTGCAAATAAAACTCAGCATCTATGAGAAGGCTTACTTTGTGTCCATCAAAGCCTGTATCACCTTTATCGCCTGCTTGACCTTGATAGCCTTGTGGCCCAGGACTTCCTTCACTTCCAGGTTCTCCTGGCGGTCCAACAATTCCTTGAGGTCCTGGGGAACCTTGTACCCCCGGAACTCCAGGTCTTCCATCACGACCAGGTGTACCAGGTGTGCCAGCAGGTCCTGCTGGTCCTCGTTCACCATCTATGCCTGGTGGACCTTGGGGACCACGAGGACCTGGTGCTCCAATCCCACCTTCAGGTCCAGGTGGTCCAGGATCACCTCTTGGACCTTGAGGGCCAAGTGCTTCGTTTGGAGAAGATATCTGTGCTATAATGGAATGCAGTTTTTTTTAAAAAATAATACAAACAGTTCACATCATATACAAAGTGAAACCAATTACATTAAGTATGCGTGTACCTAATTGTGTAAAACAAACGATGTGTGGGATTTTTAAAATCACTTTACATCAACGAAGTTGTAAGCAAATCTAGATTTGATTTACTGCAAAGCAAATAAAGTGACGATCATATCTTTCAGACAAAATTTATCAGTACCTTCCTAGATTATCTATCTAAACCCAGTCACAATATATCAATACTGAGTTATTCATTATTATTATTATTGTTTCCTTTAATTCCTAGAGGAACATAGGGCTTCAGCCGTGCGTCTCCATTGCTTTCGGTTCTCTGTTAGAGTCTTCACTTGGCTCCAAGTCTTCCCACACGCTTTCATCTCCTCTTCACATGACCTCCTCCAAGTCACCCTCGCACTGACGACCAACTTGCCACTTCCCTTTCGGGTTCCACTCGAGCAATGGCTTGTCTAGTGATGTCACTTGATGGTTTCCTCAGAGTATGGCCAATCCATCTCCATTTCTTCCTGCCTATTTGTTGCACAATCGGTTCCTGGTTGGTTCGCTCCCAGAGATCTCTATTGCTGATCTTTTCTGGCCATACTGAGTTATTTAAAATGGGTAAAATATGCAGTACAGGTTGATTACAAATACTGAAGCTGATCTACAATCACCTGGCTGATCTGAAACAAGACGAATCTCACCAATATCAAGGAATGACATGAAGTGAGCCGGAGAAAAAAACTGATTATTTGTTAATAGTTACTAGCTTGTAGAAAGTAGTGTTTTAAGTTGTAGTCTACTTAAGTACATTGTGTACGCCACAAGGAATGTTTTAATGTTTGCTGCACCGAATTATTTCACTCGGTTGGTTGCGTCGTATTTTATGCGCTTGAGGAGCATTGAACTATGCGAATGCGATCGCGGAGGGGGGTGGGGAATCACTCAATAAAAACAAGACCTATCTAAGATCTACATATTTTAATCATATAAATGAAAATCCAAAGATTAAACAATTTGAATTCAGTTTAGGTGGGTCTTTATTAATTATGAATCAAGTTTTCCAGAAGTTCGCTGATCATTTGGATTATTTGCTTCCTCTGATCTTTGCTGGTCTTCCTGCACCATGTTAATTTCTAGGAAGAGATTTAATTTTACTTTCCGTGATAAAAAGTTAGGAAAATTTGGTATTACTCAGTCTCTACTTTTATGGTTATAAGTATAAAACTTGGGCACTGTGGTAGAGTGTTGTACAGTAATATTAACACTGTGTGATTTATCACCATAAAATCTTATCCATAATGGAGTTCAACTTTTATGGTTTGTTAATTATTGCTCCCCCAACTTAATCTTTCTAGCGCTGCTTAATAAAGACTTTTTTAAACTGCGGAGGGCACAAAAAGCTGTTCGTAGGGTGAGTAGGATACCACTAAACCAACTTTTTAATACTGCTGTAGATAGACACATGGACTCATGAAATATTTATCATTATTATTTAACCGATATCAACAAAGTTGAACTGTAAAGTTGTTTAAAATTGTTTCTTTTTATTCCTTTGCGTTCCCAGGGGAACATAGGCTTGAAGTTTCGGTAGCAGTAGTGTTCATTTTTACGGGATGGGTTTGCTAGCCTCATGCCCAACCTTCCCTCTTTACCAGTCTTTTTTTTGGCTTAGCGAGGTTTGTGGGTGCGTTGACAGGGGGATCGAACGCCTGACCACATGTGTGGTTGAGGAGAATTCTACCGCTGTGCCATCGACGCGTTTAAAATTCACTTGACATAAAAACTGTTCAGTACACTTTCATTCAACTCTGAGTCCTAATTTTTTTTCATATTTTCACTGTTTCAGCCCAATATTGGTGATGGATGCTGTATGTAACCATGAGGTTAAACAGAGCTGTACTGCAGTTGTTTAGAAGTGATATACATGTCAGGGATAACTATCAACTGCTCTACAGTAGAAATTACAGCCTTCTTTTCCCCTATTATAGAAAGAACAATTGATCTTTGTATCCTTCCCTTGTTATTACTAATGTTATTACTTTTCCTAAGTTAGTTTGCAGGGATTCGATTTGTTTCAGGCATAATTACGGAGTGAGGTCACATAAAGAGTCATAGAAAAACACAGAGTACTAGACAGTTGTTTCATCCAAGTTTGCGACTATTTGGAAGTCCCCACTCATCACCAGGGTTCGAATCTAGGATCTTGCAGTTACAAGGCAAACTCATAGACTATTCAGCCCCCGGGATGGAGTCCAGTGGCCCACGAATTCCAGCTTCTGCCAATTCGTGATGTATGTATAGTGCAATCGCCAGCGAATGTCATCGGTAACTGTTCTTTCTTTTGCTTTCCAATCAGAACATAGGGCTTCAAGTATCAGCATTGAAGTTTCAGTAGCAGTGCCGGGGTGAGGTTGCTAGCTTCACGACCAACTTCCTCTCTTTACTGGCCTTACTAACAGATGTGTGAGGTTTAGGTAGACGTCTACCGGGAATGGAACCACGGACCAGATAAAGCGTGGATGGCGATTGTCCTACTACCAAACCATCGAATGTGAATCTCTGTTCTGGTAATAAGCATTATACTCACTAAAATGAATTACAAGGGAAATGTACTTACATGAATTGAATTTAATAATTCATAGACTGTAAGTCATTTGTTTAAATAATCACCAGAAAAAATAACAAAATCTTATGATTTAAATTCTTTTTAATACATTAAGACGACAATATCCTAAATTTGCATAATTCATGATAGTTCTTTCTATTAGGTCTTCAAAGTTTGCTTTGGAAAGAAGTATCTGTGTGAATTTTAAAAGTCTGATTAGTTCTGATCCAAGTAGGGTTAAAAAGTGCACAATGAAGATAAAAGCTTGCAGTTTTTTCCCGAAAATTCATGGATTTCGAAAGTTTTGCAAAACTGGCTGGCAACATCTGTAACCGCTGCACTAGGTGAGCGGGGTCTGAATCATCCACAAGGCAGGTGACATCATTTCCTTCGATTTTGTAGTAGATATGCCTTATTGACAAATGATAATAAACTCGAAACTCAAGTCCAAGGATTCCTCTTGATTGATTCCAACAATCTGAAATACCCTTTCAGTTAAACAATCGTTAAACTGTTGTGTTTATTTTTCAAATATACATTGACTCTACTTCTCGATAAGCTGGACTACTTATTTTATTTCGTTTAGTCTCTTCTGTTTTTTGTAAACGCGCTGAAAGTTATCTACAAACGAATTTCCCTGGTCTACAAAAGCTTACTTCACAATTTATTTCAGTGCTTATAGGTGTATTTTAACATCTTAGGACTTCATTTGTAGACGACAGCAGGTATACTTTCACCTGATATATATATGCTGTAATTCGAGGAATCTCACCACTTTGCTAAGAACATAAATATCTTGGTAGATTTAGCCCTCTGTATCACACAGACTGTTGATGAATTCCACCTTGAACTTTGTCTTCAGACGTCTTTATAGCTTAGATATTTGATAGATTTTATAATAATAATGACGATAATAATAATAACAGCCTAAAGCCATTGTAAGATCATCTTTAGAAGTTATTTTTTCAAAATCTTTTAATAATCTCACCCTTTAAATGAGACCGCTGTCTATAGTTCAAGGATTATTTAAGCTTGCACTACTTGTTTTCCGTGCGTTATTTGTAACAATCGAGTTTCTGAATTGATTGATTGGGTTAATATTAATATTTAATATTAAAACCTACACTGAAAATGTTGTCTAGAAGGATAACGAAAGCTTCGAAATTAAACCAACCAGCTCAGTGAACAGCTCTGAGCTACAAATCTCCATTATTTCAATAATTCAGTTTTTTTAGCTGTCAAAGATAATGTCAGGAATTTAAGTATCAGTACATCTTAGATCTGATTGATTATATGAGATAATTCTGGAGAAAAAAGATCTTTACCGATTGTAAGTGCTTCCATTAACTGGTTTTAAGAATTGAATGGACGGCGATTGCGTACGACAATGTCTTATGACTTCTTCGATCATTTCCATTCTGAGACTTGAATCTATGTCAGCCAATCTGAAGTTCAGTGATATCACTAGTGATCAATTCGGGCTCGCAAATCACCTCCTTTGGGTTTGTATTCTTTGTACTGTGTAGTAAATAATTTCATGTATCTAATGCCTTGTTTAATGAACACTGAATTCCATCAGTCAGATAGAATATATCTTAATTTAGCATTTTGTGAGTAACAGAAATTTCTGCTTCATCTAACTTCAAACATATGGAGGGTGGGTTCGAGTCTCAATGGAAGCACCATGACTGATAGAGTTGCATTTATTATTTACATTCATTTAATGAGACCTAAACGATACGACGCGCATATCCAATTGGCCTAGAGTTATCCACAGTCAATCAAGTTATATAGAGGGAGCTTATCCTCCACCCTCCCTGCTGCCCTTTGAGACTTGAACCTGTATCTTAGAGATTTCGTCAATATTTAAAAAAATCCCTATAAAGAATATGTGCAATTAATGACTGATAAAATTTCGGACTGTAATTCTATAGAAGGTGCCACTTCAATTCCCCAGATGTGTACGCCTTCCGTTACTAAGCATAGCTGAGGAAGTTTCAATTAAAAAATTTTAATTCTAATCGCTGTATTGAGGAAAAGTCTGTTCAATCCCTCTTCCTCTCTCTGTCTCTCTCTCATGGTCTTCAATCCTGACTTAGAATAGTTATCCAGGTGACATTCTATGATAAAGGGAAGTCTTCCACTTCGTTGCCTACTGAAGCTGGTGTCCCTCAAGGCGCTGTCCTTTCTCCTTTTCTTTTTCCTTTCTTCTTACATGACTTGCCTCAGTCTGATGAAATAAATTTTGTGAAGTACGCTGATGATTTAACTGTTTCAATGGCTGTTAACTCCCAGCTAGATTGTACCAAAATAAATAGCTTTCTGTCGGGAGTCAGTAAATGGTCTGAGTCTAACGGTCTTAAACTGAATCCTTCTAAATGTCAAACTGTTAATTTCTGCTTAAGATGTAAACGACAGTTAAAAGAAGTCGTCGATTCTCATAACAGTTGTAAGATTGATGACAATGATTTAGGAATTAAATCAGAAATTAAGTATCTTGGACTTATTCTCTCTTCTGATCTCTCCTGGTCTTCCCATGTCTCAGCGATCTCCAGTAAAAAATTCCGCCTGACATTTTACATTAAGAAGTTAAGGCACTCGGGTATAACTCAACCCCTCCTCTTACAGTTCATAAACTCTTGCATCCTACCTATTCTTCTTTATTGTTCACCCTCATTCTTTCCTGGTTTGCTCAAAAAGGACTTTGTCACAATTCGTAGAATGCTGAAGACTGTCAGTAGGATGAGTGGTGTCCCAGTGGACTACATAGTTAACGTCGTTGTCGATAGGCATTTGACTTCGTGCAGTAAATTTGCTAAAGGGATTTTGTCTGACTTAGAGCATCCACTTCACCCTCAGCTTTCACCTTGCATCTCTTCAGGTAGAACAAGAAGTAACTTCAGAAAACTGTATGCTCGCACGTCTAAGTATAAAAATTCTATGATACCATACTTGTCACGTATTTTATGTGATGAAAATAGTGTCAGGCAAGAATTAACTAACCTTTCTTCATCTAGTAAATAAACAATCTTCTCCATCCATCCTTACATACCTTCAAGTTTTACTTTTATTATTTCTATTATATTTATGGTCCTGTTGATTCTTTGTTTTCACTTTCATAACTGCAAACACCAACTTATCTCTATGACTGCTGTAATCTTTGTTTTTTCCCTCACCATATCATGTAAAGAGAACATTATATTCAATATTTTTAATCATGCAAGGATTTGTATACCGTATCGACAATACTGTGTGAAACAAGCCGACGGCAATTTCCACTTTTATTATTATCATTACCTTAGCTGCTGTCATTATTATTATTTCCATTTTATATGCTGCATGTTTTTTTGACATTACCCCTATTGTAAATGTGGAAATTTTTCTGCGATTAATTTTATTTATAATTTGAGGAAATTAGATGCACTATTGTGATTAATGCTGAAAATCCCATTCTGTATCACAAGTACTGCTTTTGGAATAAAGTAAATCACTATTATTATTAACTGTAAATACTATTTCTTCTTTTATTTTTACCGCTAACTTCATCATCATTATTATACGTTGCTATAGTTGCATATATTGATTTTTGTTTCACATTTCATTATCATTATTATTCTACTTACATTCGCCTGGATCATATTTGATTCTACTGATGTACATTAATTCAAATGCTTACGACTAATATTTTATCAAATAATTGTAAGGCATGATGAGAATTTACCGAAAATACGTATTTGTTTGCTTAAATCATGTTCTTTAATTATCATAATAGGAATATTTAGATTGTAAGTACTTTTTAAGAAATCTCCGTTGGAATCCATTTATCTAACTTTATTGAATAATAATAATAATAATTGTAAATGAACTCTGTGCAAATGTATTTTTATATTTTTTTATATTTTATTATAGCTTGATTCCACACAGTATTTTGGTACAAGTATGAAATTTTCAGCATGTGATATCGGTAGCTCAAATTTAGCAGGCCAACCATAGATATCAGATGTGCGTCGACGGGGGATCGAACCTCGAACCATGTGCATGGTCCGTGAGAGTCCTAACCGCTGTGCCACCGACGCAGACATATTTATTAGTGTCTTTGGCCTGTAAGCAGCTGACGAGAAGGCAACGAAATAAAAGATGGTACCACTTTATTCTGCAAAAACTGTAGTTCTTGCTTTGTTCAAATAATAATAATAGCTTTATTCTAGACAATATGTACAGAATTTTCAGCGTATTCAGAGGATCTTCAAGTATAGATCGGTATTCAGAAAAACAACAAATTGAGCGGAGAAATATGCACTCCTTTTCAATTAGTTCTTCATCAACGGCTGGCTCTACACTAATATATATATATATACATAGTTTTTTTCATTAAAATTCTTTACCAATCAAGTGGTTATTTTAGTTAATCAGTTTAGGTAGAGGGGGGAGGTTAAAGGTCATCAAAACAATTAACTAGTAGATGTTAGTAACAATGTATCTAATTTTTGAAAGAGGCGTGAAAACTTATACATGTCCAAACCAAGTTCACTTTTAACAGTTTGAAAAATTTTGGGCATTGGGTGTATGATATTCTTTATAATAAAGGTTTTCTGTATTTCCCGATTTTGCTTTTCATTGATTGGGAAATACAAAAAGCCTTTATTATAGGGTGAAAACTGACTAATTATGGAATTCAAGATAATTCGATTCTTGGACGTTAGCAACAAGAAATTTGTAAAGTAATGATGACTAAGAAGAATAGGGTGACTCAGAAGAATTACGTAAAATACAAACAAACAAGTTAATAGAATTAATTTTCACCCCTCCTTCAAAACTTAGATATCCTTTTACTAACATCTATTAGTTAATTCTTTTGACTACCCTTAACCTCTTAATTTCACCCTCCCCCCTATACCTAAAACTTTTTAACTAAAATAACTACTTAATTGGTAAAAAATGTTGATCTAAAAAACGACTATATATTAGTATAGAGCCAGTGGTTGATGAGGAACTTATTGAAAAGGAATACATATTTCTTCGCTCAGTCTGTTGCTTTTTCTAAAAGCGTAAATGCGAATTTGGAAATTACTGAAACTGGCATTTAGCAGTACATCGTGTGACTCTTTGTTGTTCCATCTGAAACAACATCAAAATCTCTACGGTATGTTTTTTCTTCACTTCTGTGTTAAAGCAGTGTTCTGCACTACAGCAAACTAAAACTGCATACGAGTTCATGTAGTAGCGATCCAAAAAAACACAGTTAGATGATTAAAACAATAAGAAATAGAGAAGAGTTTATTTCGTATTATAGCGGATGGAAATTTAGGTGGTAGCCCAATAATTTGAGCAGGTTGTGAGGAATTAGCAGCCCGCGCAGTTCTTGTCTATGGTAATTAACAAAATACTGACATGTATTTATACAGAAATATAAAAATAAAATAAAAATAAGAAACTTTTATTGAAATAATCATATAAATAAGTTTAGAAGTTCCTTTTTTCATCAATACTTACCATTTACTAAGTTCACAGTCAATATCAAAATAGGTAGTAGGACAAATTTTTGAATACGATTCAGTTTCATTTGCTGTTATTATTATTATTATTGATTTGTATGATATAATAATGATAATAATTTGTTTAAATGCTCATTTGATCTTTAATTTACTCAAAGTGTGTACATGATAAGTTTGTAATCTTATGGGGACGCGACAGTTTGTCTTCAGCTTTATCACAATGCTAAGATAGTAGTGAATGACAACACAGGGCGGAAAATATTCAAGAATGTAGATATTTTCCTCGCCTATATATATATGTGTATATACTGTGTAGGTCTGTGTATGAGATGCAACAGAGGAGGGGAAAAGACACCCACATATGGGTGCATGTTAGTTTGCAAGTAAGTATGTGCACACAGAAGCACAGATACAATACAACACAATACAATAGTTAGACTGATTACAATAGGTCCATAATTCCCAACTTTGGTGCATTGATTCACATTCCCTACTTCTAAATGGTAAGTGTTTAGAAATGAAGGAGAGATCCGAGGTTCTCTCTCTCTGTCTCTTTCTGTTGGTTCCATCGAATTTAGTTAGAAGATATTTGTAATAATTTCTATTTTATTTAGTATATTACATTAACAGATGAGAGAGAAAAAAGAATTAATCACTTGTACATCACGTCTATAAGACACACATGAATATATACGTATATCTTATTTATTAGTATGCTTAGAAAATGTTAAATGTATTTTGTTGGACAACTAAATTCAAATGACTAAGACTAGTTAGTATAAGTGAAGGTTAGTGAAGAAGTAAAGAAGGATTGAAGGTGACTTAACTTTATCATTGTTGTTATTGTTGTTAATGCAGAAGAAAGGGGAAAAAAGTTAAGCAGTACAATGAACTGTTCACCAGTGACATTTGATGTTAGCAATGTAGGAATGCTGAAAAAAAAGTGAATCAGTTAACAGACGATCGAAGAAAAAACAACAAAGAAAATGGAATTAGATATGTACGCAGTATAACATTAATATGATAACTGTTCTTTTGGGTTCCAGGTGGAACATGAGGCCTCAACAATACATCTTCATTTCATCCTTTTCTCTGCAGTCTTTTCTAGGTGACTACATGATTCCACGTAAGCTTTTACCTCCTCTGCCTCACACATCCTCCTCCATGTTACCCTTGGACCCACATTCAACTCTTCGTTTCCTATTCGGGTGGTCTCCTCAGCATGTATTCAATCCATCCCCATCTTCTTCAGTATATTCGTTGAGCAATAGGTTATTGATAGGTTCTTTCCCAGAGTTTCTTGTTGTCAATCCTTTCCAGTCAGCCATGTGATCTTCAGTCTTAAGACTAAGAAGGCAGTTGTTGATAAAAGTCTGTAGTAACCTGTTGGAATTGATCTCAACGGCGGTGCGCCAAGTCTATGAATCATTTAGTAACACTGAATGAGCTAACAATAATGTTGAAAATTCGAATCCTGTTCTCTATACTGACCGCAGCAGAATTTCATAATGACTTCATATTAATGGAGGTCTGTCTTGCTTTTCAAATCCTGATTAGCTTTGACATCGTCATCCGTGCCGTCTGCCTGTAGTTGAAACGATGTTGCCTAGATAAGTGAAAGAACCAACTTTCTTCAAATTCCTCCCGTTGATAGTGATTGGTGCTTCTTGTTGTTTTTGGTCCGTGGGGTATCTTCTTTACCTCTATCTTCTTCTCTATTCTCGCTTGAATTAATGTCTTTGCTGCCTAGATCTTTTGCCAACTTGTTAGTTTTCACCTGTATTTCTTCGAATTTGTGTGACACTAGAGACAAAACATCCGCGAAATCCAGATCTTCTAGAGTGCTTTTATCTAGCCAGTGTATACCTGTCTTCTAGTGAGAGCATTTGTCTTTCAAACACGTTGATATCTTTTACGGAGTCTTTCACCTCTCTATTCACAAGCATCCCCCTGACCGAAACCATATTCTGTATTTGTGACTACATCGAAACCAGCAACCTAGAAGTTCCTCTTCCCATAAACTACCTGAAGGAACTACTTCTCAGATGTACGTTTAATATCCAGTTCAAACTCAATGAACAATTTTATGTACAGAAAGATGGTGTCTCCTCTCGGTCCACTTCTAGCCGACTGCTTCATGGCGAGTCTTGAAAACAACATCTTCGATAAGTCAACTGCACTTATACATGAGATACGTGGATGATACGTTCATAATTTGTGATGAAAAATCTGATTTAGAGCATCTCCTCAAAACCTTCAACGCAACACACGCACCAATAAAATTCACCTTAGAACATGAATCGAACATGGCATTTCCATTCCTCGATGTACTATTTACCAGAAGACAAGACTGTACGATCTAAAGATCGATATATCGCAAGCCAACATGGACGGGACAGTTTATCAACTTCCAGAGCTTCGTCCCACTGATCCGAAAGCAAAACCTGGCACGTCCATTAAGTCCAAGAATTAGAAAAATCTGTTCGGAAGACATGATAGAGAAAGAATTAAATTTATTACGTGAAACCCTACTAGAGAACAGGTATCCACCAAGATTCATAGACAAAAAACACGAAAGAGAAGCCTCCGTCGCCAAACATCGCAACTGTTCCTAAGAAAACTCTCTTCATGAACCTGGAATTCAAATGTGACATTGAAGCAGAAATTCTTAGAAACCGCCTTCCTAAATGTCTGAAGAAGACATCCCAAGCAGCCGCCTTATGCATCACATTCTCCATAAGACGGTTAATCCAGTCTAACGTTAAGGATAAAATACCGCTTTTGGTCACCTCATTGGGTATTTATCAATTTACTTGCTCCTGTGGAGCAAAGTATATCGGCAGCTCCAAATCCACAAACGTATTCTGGAACACTGTTGAGCTTGGTTAGCCAGACGAGAAAAGAAGAATACTGCCAGCTCCATCCTCGAACACCTTGTCATCTCCGGACATCGAGCAGCCCCACATGAATGCTTCACAATGTTACATAGAGTCCCTTAATATCGTACAAAGGGGCTTCGCATACGCCATCTGTATATAGCTGAAGCATTGGCCACTCGGGATCTGAAGCCAGACTTCTGCATTCAAAAGCGCTACATACATTCACTCGCCCTACTGTAGCCAGAGTAAAGTTCTTACTATCATATTACTTCTTCTCTTTATTATGTAGGTTCACTATTATTATTGTTATTACTATTGTTATTTCATTATCATTATTATTCCCATCATCCGTAATTACTGTTTATTAATAACATTGCTTTTTCATACAGATTTTACACAAGAATACTTTATCTCCTTTCCATTAGTTCCTGTCCATTCTACACGAGCTTATTGATTAGTCATTATCTCACACTTATTACGCCATGCCAACTTCTGCCTCTTTTCTAACTTACAATTAGTCACCCCTTCTAGGTTACACCTTACATTACGCAATACATTTTTCGAGGACAAAGTTTACCAGTATCTGATTGGTCTTATGATTTCTCTGTTAAATATAATTACGATTGTACAGCAGCTTATGAAAATGAATCGTCGAAAAGAAAATTTTCTTCGCTGTCTATGCCTTTTTCTTATAAAAAAATATGACAAAGAAAGTGGAAAAGGATTATTCTCCATCTGTAAATAAGAAGCCTTTATACATAAGACTGCAGTTCAATGGTGACGCACTTAGTGAAATAACTGCCAACAAGTTAAGAAAATATATTCAAACAACTTTTAATGCTGGTAAACTACAATACCGATGGTGATTCTTTGGTTGAAAGGTGAAGTACCTAGACTAGCCAATTCCAACTGAATCTACCAATTCAATTGCGCTTGTGGAGCGAGTTATATTAGCCGTTGCTCTAGGAACTTGATTTTTCGTGCTCACTAGGGAACATCCCCCAGTATGGTTGAGTAAAGGTGTAGTAAAAGCCATGAACATGTCGATATTAGACCACGCGGTCCAAACCGGCCGGCCACAAAACCAGCATTGAATAGTCCTTCTCCAATATCATCTAGCGGGTACCAAATAAAATGCCAAAAACATTGAGGTACCGCATACACCAAAAAGCGGAGGCTATTGCAATTCGCCTCAAACAACCAGTTCTTTGTGTGCAAAAGAAGCAATTCCAGCCACTACTACTGCCCTGACCTTCAGTGGAGACTATACTTTCACGAATTTGCACTATAATGTTTCCTAATTTTTCTGACATTCAGTGTATTGTTATGTTGATGCTATCAAACTGTAATCCACTGATGTTATTGCTGATTGGATATTATTTAAACAACATTGATGTTGTTCATAACACTAATTCATTCATTCACTATAATGTATATATAACTGTAGAGCCTGATGATGGAGTAATCGAAGAGAGTATTCTTTGTTCACTAACCATTCTTTTGAGAAATTTTTGAAATGATTTGCAAACTGTGAATTTGATTTATGGTGTTGCCAGTTCGTTCAATTAGCTACCCAGATGGTTTTAACTAATTCAACTGTCTGTGATAAGTCAGAATGAATACATCGTTGATGAGGTCGGCCGAAACGCTTGTTCCATGGTGTTTAGATCACCTCGATCTCGCTGGTTAGCTAACACTACTGTTGGTGTGTGTGTGAGTGACATACAACTACTCATCTCAATCAACCAGTAGTATATAATTTTACGCAAAAATATTTCTGATCATATTTTTTTAAATGGATGAAAAGTAGTTTAAAATGTTATCGAGAGTTGAATTATGTCGTGAATATAAGTCTAGAACTTGGACACTGTGATAGAATATACTTCCATATTAGACAGCTTTGTTTGATATAATAGAGAATGATACAGTATTTTAGAGGCTGACGGTATTGAAGTTCGCGAATTGTACGGAGTATACTAACGCAAGATCTTATATCAACAACTTCTATGGTATTCGTTTCTCGTGGACCAAAGGCAAAGCAAAACAAGTGAATTGGTTGTCCAAAAATACGAGATATATTTCGGAACCAAAACGGATTGTGAGTTGATTGCTAAACTGGTAAGTGATCGTGCACGCAAGTGACACGACGGAGTACCAAATGGCAAGGAT